AAAACTCTAATATGTTTTGATTGGATTCCAAAAGATAGGGAAAAAAATATGGGGAATACATGGATCCTTTTGTAATATTGAGAGTTTAAAAACATTCTCTCGTGTTTCAATCATTTTCTGAAAACGATGTTTAATTTTAATACTGTCATCTTACCGACTCTTCTATATATATTCTTCTGTTTCTTACCGAACTCTTTTCTTTATATGTTTTCTGTTGAGTTTATTCTTTGATTTTTATTCTTTTGCAGTATATAGTTTCTTTTAAATTTTATTCCTTTTCAACAACGGATTATCATGTTGACGAATTGTTTGGCACCAAATAGTTACAAAGAGAATATGTAAATTTAACTGATGAAGACTACTATGAACTGAACCACAGAGTTTGAGTTTAGACGATTTGAAGGTAAGAAACGCCTTATCGTGGTTTGAGCTCCTCCACAATGAATCTTTCATATGCAGAAGACCACAAAGTTGGGAAATTATTTAGCTTCAGTTAAATATTACACAATGTATTATTTATTATATTATTTTATTAAATTATCTGAGAGAATGGTATTTTCCGTTATTACGGCTGTAAATGGTTATAGTTAGAAAACATCGATATTAATGAGATTTATCTCACGTGTGTTTGTTTTGTGCTAACCTTTCCAGAAAATCATAATGCCTACTCTAAGCCTAGCAGATGAAGGATGGAGTACCAATATTTACTCTTATGAGGACCGCATCGAGTTTTATATTGTAGTAGGAAATCAAGGAGCCGCTTCCATATTCTATGCTGATAGCGTGGAGACCTACACCTATAGGCTAGATTAGGATAAGACTTTTGTATTGTATAATTATGTGATGTAAGAAATAAACTGAAGTGATGTAATATTCAGTAGACTGTAGGACTTATGTAAAATAGTTTCCGTATGTAACTATCTGACTTAACTTTGCCTCTAAAGTATGTTGATAGATGTTTATATAATTTTCTTCACTATTATTATTAAATTCAACTTCTTTCCATCTTATTTTTCTTTGACGAAGTATAAAATAAGAAAACATATATATATAAAAATAAATCATGTAATATTCCTTATTAACGTTTGTAACAAGGGATGTTACGCCTTTAATAGGAAAAGCAAAATAATTCCTACTCATTGGAAACTGTGCTAGTATTTTTTTTAATTTTATTTTTCTTTTATAATGGAGCCCACCAAAATTTATTAGTGCAGGAAAAAAAATTATTGTCCTATTACAGGACATATATATTTCCCAAAAAATATTTTCTTTAAACAAAATTTGGTTTTTTATGGGAAGAGATCTTTTCTACATGTCATCAAAATTGATTTGGGCCTCATACTTGAATAAAATAATTATTTTGATAAAATAAATGGTTTAAGAGGACAAGAAATTAGGTCAGATAAGTTATATTTTTAATTTTAGCTATTGATTTTATTTACATGATTATGATTTATTTGATATTTAAACCGTTATATGAAAACAAATCAATGATCAAGATTTGACGTAAGACTTCTTATTTTTATGTAAGAATATCCTGCCACTAAAAAATTCTCCTCGTACTACTTGTTAAATGAACAAAATTTTGATACATCAGATATAACTTCCAACTGGGTATATGTATTTTTCAAAAGGAGAATTATTTTTCAATATGATGGATTTTTTTTTTTGATAATTTTTTTCTCAAATATAAAAAAAAGATGTTTATCTGTTAAATAGGGAACCACGAGAAAGACAAAAGTGAGAAGGACACCCATATATATATGGATTAGTGTTATCCTGATCAGCTACTTTTTCCATCTCACCCTGATTACGGATAAAAAGAAGGCATCATCCTAATCTAAAGTTGTCTAGATTCAAGAATTTTAAATTAAACATTTTAAGTGAACAGAACAGAACAGAACAGGTAAACCAATCATTTTAATAAATAATAAATGTGTGGGGGAACTGTTACAAGCAGTCATTATCCTCACTAGTTTAGACTTGTTAGATGCAGACATACCAATAGAATCAATGGTCAATAATAAAGCAGCAATATATGTTAAATATAAAAAATAAGATATTACATCTACCTCCATGACTTTTTCTTCCCTCTCCTACTCAAATTATTTCTTTCTCTTTAAGTTAGTGCACTTTTTTGTTGTTGTTGTTGCCCTTTGCTGCGGGATTGATCTGAATCTTCTTATTTCGAAATTTAATTTTGACCCATTTAATGTAAAGGTGGAATATTTCATTCATTGATTTAAAATTTAAATATTTTATCAAAATAATATTATAAGACATACATAAGAGTATGTACATTCAAATCTAGTGGCGGAGCTAGGATTAGGGGAAGGTGTGAAATTAATTTTTTATAGGGAAAACATCATTTTCTGTTGTAGCAAAATATATTACAATTCTTGCACATAGATCGAAACTTGTGCCATTTATTTTTGTTTTTTGTTTTTTTTTTTAAAATGATGGGCCCATGTATTATGTATCTACATGAATTATTGCTTATCATCTGCAACATAGGAAAACTAACGCCCTTTTTTATATTACATAATATGAGTGTTTTCTCTACCTATTGATCTCATATCTTCATGGAACTCATTTAGGTAATTTCATACCAAAATATTAACATTAACAACATTTCAAAGACTGAAACAATATACTATTGATCAGATCCAACATACATAAAAAGTAGTTTAAAGCAATAATTAAAAAAAAGGAGAGTGCCTTCATTTAATGTTAACATTAACTAAAACAATGCTTTTAACTATAATTTTTTTTTTTTTAAAAAAAACAAAAGATTGCATCTAAGTAGCCCGAAAAGTGAATCTTTTAAGTTAGAGCAAATTCATTTTCTCTATATGAAACTATTACGCAAAGAGAAGCACAATCATACAAATGAAAAAAGAGTAAGCAAAAAAGTCAAAGCTTTCATTAATCGAAAAATAGCAAATGAAAATAAAAAATAAAAAATGCAAAAAGGGTACACATAACACACATACACATTAAGTGAAGTGGAAGTAGATTTCAACTTAGATCTCAAACCAGAACTTTCAGAAGAAGCACATTTAACATTAACAACAGTACCATAGCCTTCAACTCCATAAAAAAAAATTCAATTTTTTTAAGGGGGCGACAGCCCACCCTAACCTCCCTCTGGCTCCGCCCCTGTTCAAATCGCGTTTGGGAAGGAGCATGATTCATGCATGGACGACACATGTTACAAGTTGTATATCACTTCATGTATGACTTAAACGTAAATACAACCCATGCATTTTTTATTATATTATTTTAATAAAATATTTAGATTTTGAATTAATCCAATAAAATATTTCCCATTTCAAATGATTATGGTCAAAAGGGTTTAATTAATGTTTATCATTTTATACGAGATAAAATTATCTTCGAACTCATGTTTTATTTTTCTCTCTTCTTTTTACATGTCTCACACATTTTTACACGTGTAAGAAATAAAATTATCTCCTATAACATGAGAATCATAAGACCCATTAAACAATTGTATCTTAAGGTTGGAGTATGGTCGGGTCCATTATAGGAGAGCTTTGTTAAGATTATTTTCTCATTTCCAAACTCTGAATAAAATATTTCTATTAAAGAAAATGAATTTCTTAGTAATTGAATCAATGATGGTTGATAATAATGTTTATTTCTAATACCAACAAAGATATAATAAACACAAAAATAAATAAATCAATGTTGTAAAATATGGGTCTACCACAGCCGGTCAAATTGAAAATTTGGTGGCTCATCAAATTGGACGATTTGTGATTAACGTTTTATAAAAACAATATCTACACCTAAATTGGTAATTTAGTTAATGTTTTACTTAGCCAAATCGAGTAGTGTTGAATTGAATTGAATTGAATAAAGAGCATCAAAAGCCAACAAGTACCTACAAAGTGGGAATTGTTCGGGTTGGAGAGAGGAGTCCTTGTTGAGCTTGGTTGGAAGCTTGAGCATTAAAGTGAGTTTTTGCCACCTACACTTCAAACTTCAAACCATTTGTCGTCTAGTTGGAAAAAGTTGCATTTATCATGAAGGAGAGGAGGACAAAGATTGGGTTTGCTTGAAATAGCCAAAGGGTGTCAGCTGAGCTCAAAAGGAATGGGTCTTTTTTACTCTCCCAAATATGCCAACTCATGCCACCAACATTTTGATTTGGGAGACTCATCTCATCCAATTAAAGAGAAGAAGAGAATAACAAGAGACACATTGGCTAGAAGTCTACAACAAAGAAGAATCAAGGACTTTTTTTAATCTATAACTATTTTTTTATAATTATTTTACATAATAAAAATATGAAATATGTTATTCTACGTATTTTTTTTTTTATGCACATCTTGCATACCAATCTTCAATACTTTTAATCAAAATCTCAAAAGGAGAAAGAAATGATATGATTATAATTTAATGGTGTTGGAGAATGATAAATAAGGTAGTTATAAATAAAAGTAAACAAAATAATTTATCTTTAAAAATATATAAAAAAACATTTTTGATAACTTTTATTTTGATAACAAATTATTAAAACTTATAGATGTTTCAACAATATTAGTAATGATAACAGTGGTGGTAGCGATGATAACGAAAATTGTGTACGGTAATGGTGATTTGAAATAAGAGTTAAACACTATAAAAACAAGTTGGAAAAAATAAAAATTAACTGAAATATATTCTCAATATTTTTTACTTTAAAAACATGTTATATATGAAAATAAATAAATTAAAAACCATGTTGGTTCATTGTTGTGTTTCCCACCAAGTTTAAGTTTTTTTTTTTTTTTTTGCACCTTGAAATCCTTCGACCAGTGTGTACTCAAATGGGTCATCATCATCCTTTGTGGGCCCCTACTACTGCCCCACCCCACTTGTTGCTTCTCTCTCTCTCTCTCTCTCCTGTCTTTGCTTGCTCTTCTAGTTCTAATTACCCTTTGATGTTGTCCTCAACAGTTCCTATGTCCCTTTTATTCTTGAGCTCTGATTGGAAAGATCCTTTCTTTCTCAATCTGGGGTGCTCAGGGATTCTCGTTTTTTCTTCTTCCTAAAGGTGATGATGATGATGTGTGTGTGTTTGTGTGTGTTAGCACAGAACATCTGAAGTTGTGGCAGCACATGTTTATTTGTTTGGGAATTTCCTTGTTGTCTTCAAAGTAACTGTATATTATTGTCTGGTATATAGGAAGCTGCTTCATTTCATTTCAAGCATCTGGGTCGCTTTGATTGGAACCTTGCATGCTGTTTTTTGGATTTGATTGTTTTGGTATCTTGGTTTAAGAACTTTTTGCCAAAAAAAAGTAAAAAAAAAGAAGAAGCTTCTTTGAATAGTTTTTTAGATACCCTTTTCTGAGAAAGAGATTTGGATTTCATGCTTGGTCAAAGTTCATTATGGAGATATTTCCACTTCTCTAGCATTCAGTACTATTGCTCAGTGAAAAGACATGAAGAGCATTCTTAAGAAGCTTCATATCATGTCTAACCAATCAGAAAATGAACAAGGGTCTTCTCCATCAAAGGGAAACAACTCCAATCATGGTTCATCTTCATCCTCTAAGAAGCTTTTGAACTTTCGTTCCTCTCAAAGTTCTGAGCATAAACCCTTTTCGGGGCTCTCAGGTTGGTTGCATTCAGTTGCTAATAAGCAAAGTCCTAGTCCTCCATCTTTGAACCAAGCAAAAGGAGTGAGAATGGAGCCATCTGAAACGGTGAACAGTGGGGGTTTGGATGTTGTTTCAGATTCAGCTAGGCATGATTCAGAGTCTAGTGCTTCGAGGGATCCTGAAGTAGAGGAAGAGTATCAGATACAACTGGCTTTAAAGCTGAGTGCAAAGGAGGATCCTGAGGCTGTGCAGATTGAAGCTGTTAAGCAGATCAGTTTGGGGTCTTGTGACCCTGATAATTCACCAGCTGAAGTTGTGGCCTACCGTTATTGGGTAAGTCAATTTATTCACTTTAAGTACATTGACTTTAAGTTGAAGTCACATTCTTGTTGTTATGATGGTGCTTTCGGAGGAAAAGATACTGGAAGTATTAAGTTTGGATATTATGTCATTCTTAGAAAGGATATGGGGCTGCCAGAATTTTGTAAAGAATTTCAGATGCGTAGATGGTACTTCATTGGCATTGTAATTAAAGGTATAGATCATAGCCTGAAGGAAAGGAGAAAAAAAAGATGGAAGGAAGGATCTGGGATTGTGTTTATATCACATGTGCCCTTATTCATGTGGGTTTTTTGCCCTTAACATCATGTGAAATGACACGGAGAGCAAATCATCATAGTTGGTTGAATTTAGACATTAATAACATTCTGAACTATGCATGCTTGCATTTTGGACTAACCTGTCGGGGATTAAATTCCGGTTTGGAATATGACAAATTGGTTTGCCTCTTCCCTCTTGATAAGAAGATATGGAAAACTATCCTTAGGAGTTAAGATTATGTTTAAGTTTGACCAAACTACAGTTCTTTTTTCTAAATTTTAAGTTTATGTTCTTTCTCCCTTATATGTAATTTTACATCAAGGGAAAAATTCCTTCTTTTAAGATTCCAAGATTGCTTTGATAAGATGACGGGTACATATTTGTCAGAAAAATAATATTAGGTAAAAGTCAGAATTTTCTATGTTGGCTTTATCTTGCACCAAAGAGATTTGTCTGCTGTTGGGGATTTCCTGCATTTTGTAACTTTTCCCCCGCTTAATATGTAACTTATATTTAGTTTTTATCTTGTCAAAAAGCCTCTTAAATCTCCCTTGTTTATTGTGTAATTTTCAATCATTTGATCACACGTAATGTTGGTATATGATGTGGCTAGCCTGGTATACTTTGCTGTACTAGTCTCCTTAAAGCCTATGCTTTTAGGATAATTATTTAAAATGATATTGTAACTTTGATATAAGATCTTTGGTTATAGACAAGCAGTCATGGTTTGCCCCTTTTTAGAGATAATTCTGGATCGTTTCTGCTTTTCTATGTTTGGCTTCTAATGGTTTTTTTGGTTCTATATATTAGAGGGATTAGAATATAGGATTCCCTTAGATTGCTATGTATGGTTTGGATTGTTTTATATGATCCATATATTAAATAGTTCTGATGTAAAATAAACTTATTCCTATATGTCACTTGGTCACTTTACTCTAATTCGCCCTATGTATATTCCTTTCTAACTTATCTCATATCGTAGATTTATCCATGCTTCACAGAATTACAATTCTCTTGGTTATGACGACAAGATCATGGATGGTTTTTATGATCTGTATGGGATCTTGACTGAGTCAACCTCTGCAAGAATGCCTTCCCTCGTAGATCTACAAGGAACACCAATTTCAGGTAGTGTCACATGGGAAGCTGTCTTGGTCAATAGGGCTGCTGATTCTAATTTGTTGAAACTTGAGCAAAAAGCCCTAGAGCTGACTGTCAAATCAAGACCTGATTTTGAAGTAGTTATAGATAACGATGTGGTGCACAAGCTTGCAATACTTGTGGCTGACTATATGGGTGGACGAGTTGGAGATCCTAAAAGCATGACAAGAGCATGGAGGAGTCTTAGTGACAGTCTGAAAGCAACACTTGGTAGCATGGTTTTGCCCCTTGGTTCTCTAACTATTGGATTGGCTCGGCATCGTGCGTTGTTATTTAAGGTACTTATCCCACCATTTAATTTTGTTAGATTCACGCCAAAAAAATTGTTAGATCATATCAAGAGAAAGATCAATTGCGACCACTACAAGCTATGATATTTTTGTTATATTATCTGAAAACTTCAAAACTTTACCATGCATTTAATGTTCCTGTAATGTGGGGTCGTCTAACAGATCAACCACACCATTGTATTTAAGATAATCTTGAATTTCACATTTGTCTGCTTTTTCAACTCTCTAGTTTAATTTTCCAGAAGTCCTGGTATATGCAATAAAAATTATTGCTTTATAATTGTAGGTTCTAGCTGATAGTTTGGGCATCCCATGTCGATTGGTAAAAGGACTGCAATATACAGGTTCTGATGAAGTGGCAATAAACTTTGTCAAGATTGATGATGGAAGGTAACTGCTATTGAAGTTGTATTTTTATGATCTGGGCAACTAAGCTGAATTGCTTGTTTATAATATATTTCTCTGTGCATTGCCATTGAGATACTAATTGCTTTACTTGTTTTCTGTCATCAATACCCAATTGAGTGGAGTACACATGAAATGATGTTTCTTAATGCTTCTTTTGTGTGATATTGTTCTGGGGTAGAAGCTGTGTATTGTTACTAGTGTCTTTGTAATTGGTTTTCCTTTGCTGTTGTAGGTTTTTGTTATTTTTTCTAATTATCTTTTAAAGGTGCTATTAGTTGAATATTATCTCATTCTTTTTGTATCTTTCTCAAAGTAGGAGTTGCAAAGCCTTGTTCAGTATCTATAAGATGTGCTTGATATAAATTTCAGGGAGTACATTGTTGACCTGATGGCAGATCCTGGAACTCTTATTCCATCTGATGCAACTGATTCACATACCGAGTATGATGACTCTATTTTTGTGGCCAGTCCTTTATCAAGAGACCTTGATTCCTCTCGTGTAGCATCATCCAGCAGTGGGGTTGGAAGTTCATTTGAAGAAACTTCAGATTTTGGGATATTAGACAAAGGGAACAGATCAAAACATTATTCCTATGCAGGGAAAGAATCCGATGTAAGCAGGCCCACCACAGGAAAGGAAGAATCAATAAGACACTTGAATGAATTCAAAAGTCCCCACAATGTTGAGAAGATCATGGGGCAGGAAGCTCCTGGCAGAGCTAATCATCCACATTTGCATGCAAGATCTCCTTCTTGGACTGAAGGGATCAGTTCCCCTGCAGTACGTAGAATGAAAGTCAATGATGTTTCCCTATATATGATTGATGCTGCCAAGGAGAACCCTCACTTAGCTCAGAAACTTCATGATGTTTTTCTCGAAAGCGGTGTTGTTGCTCCTCCAAATTTATTTTCTGAAATTTATCATGAGGAGGTAGGTTCCCCAACTGAGGCCCACTTCCCAACTGAAGAAAAAGATGAACATAAACAGGGAAGTGGACGGCAAGAAACTGAGGTTGATGATAATCTTGGTCCTGCTCAATTTTTGCCTCCTTTGCCCCACTACAGAGTTCATCCCAAAGCAAGTTCTAGCAGTCAGCTGGAGCATTTTAAGCCTGTAGAAGGTTTAGGAATCAACCTTCCTCTTTATAGAAGGGAAGCAGCTGGACAGCATGTACCAACTCAGATTAAATATGGGCAAAATGTCCCGGTTGCTGCTGCAGCAGCGGCTGCTGCCGCCGTTGTCGCATCTTCTATGGTAGTTGCTGTGGCAAAGTCAAGCACTGACTCAAACATTGACCTTCCAGTAGCGGCAGCTGCTACTGCTGCAGCTGTAGTAGCCACCAGTGCTGCTGTCAGTAAACAATACGAGCAGGGAAGTCGAAGTGATGGAGATTCAGACAATGCTGGCTATGAGCCGAAGGGTAGTGATGATGGAGAGCATATTGCTTTAGGCGCAAATTCAGAAGGCGAGAGAATATCTGATAGATCAATAGTAAGTAATGATAGCACAAAATCTGATTCTGCATTAGATGATGTTGCCGAGTATGACATTCCGTGGGAGGAAATCACGCTGGGTGAGCGTATTGGACTTGGTAATAACTGTACTTTGTTCTATAAAATTTGTTTACATTCTTTTCTTAGATGGTGTTATTTATCTCGTTTAACATATAAAGACTTAATTGCATTTGAATGGCATATGTTTGACATGCAGGATCATATGGGGAAGTGTACCGAGGTGAATGGTGTGGAACTGTGAGTTTCTTATATTCTCAAACCTAATCAATTTTATTATTATCATCAAGGCATGTTTTATGCGTCTTCGTTTTATTAATTTCTGTTGCAATGAAACGTAAGGTGTTAAGACTTTACTGCGGCAATTGCTCCTGTGTATATGGAACAAATTATAAAATGTAATTTTTTAATTAATTGAATGTGTGCCAAGAATTCTTGGGATTTAGTTTAATTTTAATATGAACAAGATAATCATCACTGATATTTCCATATGTACTGCTAGCTTACTGGACTATCTCCCATTATTCTTGTCAGTATTGTTATGGGTAATTTTCTGCTATGTTGTAGATTATAGAATTCTTATGTTTACAGTGCATTTCCACTGTATGTTTTGTAGGAAGTTGCTGTAAAGAGGTTTCTTGATCAAGATATATCTGGTGAATCACTTGAAGAATTCAAAAGTGAGGTACAGGTCACCTCTACTTCCCCACTGTATTTCTTTTGCAATTTCTACTTATCAGTAATTTCAGTTGATTAATGATTTCATCAACTACAAATATTTCAACTAGGATTTTAGATATATATTTCATGATTTATCTTTTCAGTTGCCTTCATTTATGTGATATGTGTGTTTCATAATCACATACATCTTCACTCTGAGTGTTTTATAAATCAGTTGCCTTCATTTTGAATTCATGGTTTTCAGTTTATTAAGTTAACGTACATCTTCACTCTGAGTGTCAAGATCAGTTTTCTGCTTTCATTTTATGTTTTAGTCATCATTTTTTTTTTGTTATATATTTTGTTTCCAAACAGGATTCTGCTTTTAAGATAACATGCTAAAATTCAAAATCACTTCAATATTTCTTTCACCTCAAAGATACTCTAGAGATGTAGACTGGTTCCCAAGTCTTTTAGTCCATGATAGTAACTTTAGGTCTCTATCCTATTTATTTTTTTGTTTACATCTCGTGTCATATTTGCAACGTTTGTTGATCTCAAATAATTATTAATGAGTCTTTTATGTTATATTATTTATAACGTATAAATGTTTGGATAATTATGTCATTATTTGACATCAAATATCATGTTTATCTTAACATAACAGGATTTAAATTTGAAACGATCAAATTGGACCCTTGTCCATTATCTTTGGTGGTTAACAGATGTTGGGAAATGCTAAAACTAGCAAGCATGTGTACCTTTTGGTTGATCATTTTTAGTAATAATATTTTTCTTTGAAATTTCTAAATTTTTGGTCAAGATTGAGCATCATGAATATGTCAAAAGTTTAAGCTGTTTGGTGAAGGCTCATGAATAGTTTTGTATCTAAACACCTTCTCATGCAAGAGTCTTTTCGGCTTAAAGTGTGTATCATGCACAGGTCTACTTTTATCATTTGCTGAAAAAATTCTTTTTATGAGAATAATGATGGCAACAAGGATGGAATTGCTGACCAGTCAGAGAGGCTCTTGTACTATTTTATAAATCAACTATCCGAGTAGTTTAAGCTATTAGGCGAAGGCTCGTGAATGGTTTTATATCTAACATTCACCATTTAAAAATATCATTGGATGAAATTCTGGTTTTATATCTGCAAATATTTTGAATTTCAGTTGTTTTGTTGGCCCACCACCTAATTTTCATATTTATCTGGTTCCTTGTTGAAATTGAGTAGTAATTCTTGCTGTGAATGCCAAATGTACTTGTGCATGCTAATAAGTTTTGATGATATAAGAGCTTACTTAACCTATTATATAAATTAGAGATCAGTAAAGTTATGATTTAAATTTCAATAGGTCAAAATAATGAAAAGATTGAGGCATCCAAATGTCGTTCTCTTCATGGGAGCTGTAACTCGACCTCCAAATCTTTCAATTGTTACTGAATTTCTTCCCAGGTAACTTGGATTTCTTCACTTTCCAGAGCTTCATATGAATTATGAGAATGTTGATTGTGAATTAGCAGTTTTTTTGGAAGTTGATATTTCCTACCACTGACATTGTATTGTATGAAAAAGTTCTTACTTCTCTACAAGACAAATCAATAATGCTACTCCTACCAAAATTCTTTCCAAATTGGTTCACTGAATGATGTGGGTGTAGCCCAAATGACAAATGGTAATTTGGAAAGTAATAACCAAGAACCTGCTAAGATTTTTTCATTTCATAAATGCATTTAGTAACTTATTTATTTGTTTTTTAATAATGCCCAATTGCATTTTCTATTGGTGGAATATTCTAGCCGTGAATAGACAAAGTTGAAGATACATGTAGGCTTTTCAAATGTTCCCTTTACAATTTACATGTCATTGATTTAGACTCAAATGTTTTCTGATGCTTGTGTGATTAATAAAATATGTTGAATGAGGAGGAAACGAGGAGAGATTAGATGAATTATGAGTTCCATTTGTCTAAAATACACAACAAAGTTGATTTTATAACCAAAAAATGAGTGCTATACAATGAACCTAGAATCTAGACAAGTACATACAATGAATGAACCTAGATAATGAGTGAGGCTCTTGTTGCGAAATCGGCAAGTATACCGTTCGTTTCAAGTAATAAAAGTGATAAGTAAAGATCGTTCCCTCGAGGATTAATGCACCAAGTGCTAATTTAACTATTCCCTTTAAGTTGGAAAAGAAATTTGGTTTGATTGTGAAAGTGATTGATTATTGTAATTTAAAAACAGAATTTTAAAAACAATAATATTTAAAACGCATGCAAGAATATCAAGAATGACAAGAAATTATGAGATTGATTAAAAATTGTAAAAAGGCTGTAGCCAAGATGCACTTCACCTCCAATCCTCCCTTATATTCCTACATTGTATTTTATAATTAACTAATGTCGTAGTGATTTCAACCCTTTAACCCAATTAGAATCCTAGTGTCCTAGTAATCCCTCTTGAATTAAGCATTAAGCAAATGAATTAAAAGTCTGCAATCTATGTAAGCCTATGTCTAGGTCATGCACAAATTGTTATTCTACCTTTGTCCAAATTAAAACCCCAATATGTCTATTGTGAGCCCTAACCCTCAAAGCCCTATAATTAGAGTGATCAGTTCTAATAAGGATATGGAAAAATTAACACAGGCAGAATAAAACAAACTAACTAATTAACTTATAAAAACAATACAGGAAATATAAAGAATTCACATTGGGTCTATGATCCCAACTACAAAAAGAAATTAGTCAGACATATTCATGTCTGACTTAAACAAATTAAAATAGTAAAAAGAATTCATAACAAAGAAAGAAAAGATGAAGAAGAAAGATCAATGGTCTTCAATCTTCAAATTCTCCAGAGTCCTGATCTCCAGCGTGAGTCTCCTCCTCTGAATATTGTTGCCTCTGTCGAATTGTGTCTTGAGTTTCCAAGAGATGCCTTTTTATAGGGATGAAAACCATATCTTTTAATTTTCCATCATATCTTCAATGGAATCTTCACTAGAATCTCATATCATATCTTTGATCCAATCCTTCAAATCTTTCCTTTTTTAATTTAATGGAAAATTTTCCTTAAAAATATTCAAAGGAAGATTTGATAAGATCTTTATTGAGCTGAAATTTACTGCAAAATATAAAAAAATCTTATGAGAATATTATTGAAAATAAAATAACAATTAAATTATAATTCTCATAACTTTTAATTACTTTTAAATCAATTTCATGCTCATATTAACCCTTAATACATAGTAAATTGGAGACTCATTATCTCTATACAATGTATTAATCTAGACATGGTTTTCAAAAAAATAAAAAGCAGACAAAGTAAGAAATTATAGATTTTACTATATTGTGTGTACATACTTCATTGATTTGGACCCCCTACAACTTCCCTGGGGTATTTATTGTATTTGATTAATTAATGTTTCAGAGGGTTTTTTTTTGGACTCTTCAAATACTGAGATGTAGATCATCTTATGCAGAGGAAGTTTGTATAGATTAATTCACCGACCAAACAGTCAAATAGACGAGCGAAGACGTTTGAGGATGGCACTCGATACTGTAAGTTTCTATGATCTTTTAGTTCAATGTTGCTGTATTCAGAAAATTATTGCTATAACCGGTGAAGCTCAGTTGATATAACCTGTTTCTTTTGAATATTCAGGCTCGAGGAATGAACTATTTGCACAAGTGTACTCCAGTGATCGTGCATCGTGATTTGAAGTCCCCAAATCTTCTTGTTGACAAAAATTGGGTTGTAAAGGTGCCTATCCAATCTCATGATTAAAGTTCATGGATAGCATGGTGAATGATATATGTTGATCACATTCTTCTGTCTATTGAATAGGTATGTGATTTTGGCTTATCGAGAATGAAGCATAGCACATTCCTTTCTTCCAGATCAACTGCAGGAACAGTAAGCCATCATAAAACTGTCAATTTTGACTTGTTTATTCTTTCATCCTCTTGCTTGCTTGGTTGTTCATGGTGTGACATATTTAATTGAAATCATGTGCTATGTATGCACATCTGTTATTTTATTTAACAACAGTTTTGGAAGGCTAGGAACTTTCTCCCCTATAATATCAATTTCAAATGTTGTGGTCCAACGAAGTATGGATGGATAGTCTTTGGTGAAAAGTGTGCATACATACTTTTTTTTTTTAAAGAAATTCTTTGAGAACAGAACACAAAACAATCAAATTTGCATGATGATTCTGTTAGTTGCATTCATTGTATTTGTTGAGATATATAAACCATTAATGTAGCCTCACCCAACAGTTTAAGCTTTTGGGTTGAATCGGTTCTTTACTTGGTACTAGAGCTCTTTCCTCGCTTTCGTTTAAAACCTTGTTTTCGCTTGAAAACCTAAGCCCACTGTTTAGGAGTCCTCTTTTCTTTGTCGTGCGTCCTTCCGGCAAGTCATCTAGGGCTGTAAGCCACCTCTGAGTGATTTCCGAACGCGTCAGCACCTCCGACCGCCACCGCAACCACCGTCCGTCACTGTTCCGGCCGCCAGAGACATTTTCCGGCGAGTTTTCAGACCAGACCACCTGCGATCAAGACCCTCTCCTCCCGGCGACCAGTTCTGTGGAGGTCCGACCACCATCGTAGCCCTCACGCGCCACCAGTCTTCTCTGTGCATGGTGCTCACGCGCCATCTTCTGCCGGCGCTTGTGCACTATTCCGGTGGAATTTTCCGGCCGTTCTTGGACAGAGAAGCTCGCCTTCTCCTCCTTTTTCCAGATCTGTGGTTGGTTCTTTGTGGGTCTCACTTTTTGTGTGCACCTCTTCTTGATTTGCGATCAGGTTAGTTTCTATTCACTTGGTTATATATCCTTGTGATTTATTATCTTGGCAGCACCTTCTCCTACTCACTCGGAGGTCAGTTCTCCCTCTCGTCCTGCCAAAAGTTCCCCTAATGTCATCTCCACCAATGTTGGGCCCATTACCTCTTCAAAGCTGAAGGGTTCTGTTAATTACAAGAATTGAGCTACCTCTGTTCGAGTTTGGTTCTTTGGACAGGGACATGAGAACCATCTCACAACTAAATCTACTGATATTCCTAAGGAAGAAAAATCTGATTGGGAAAGGATTGACAACCAGCTTCTGAGTATCCTTTGGCAGTCTATTGATCCAGTCGTCTTGGAAATCTTCTATTCTTTTCAAACCTGCAATGACGTGTGGGAGGAAGCAAAACACCTATACACTAATGATGTTCAGCAACTCTATTCCATCATGTCTCAGTTTATGGGTCTGCGCAAATCATCTGACACTCAGATGGCAAAAGTCGATCTCTGATGCAGGCATATTTGGATATGTTGTCATACCCTACTGATTCTTCTGCATATCGGAAACAGGTGTAACGTCTCTTTATGGTTGCCACACTTTCTGGTCTTCCCGAAGAATATGATAATGTCCGGGATACTATCTTGACCAGTGGGGATCCTGATCTATCAATGACGTATCATCGTCTTTTGAACCTTAATAAGAAATCTGCTCCTGTATCATCTACTGTTGCTGATTCCACTGTTCTAGTTTCCCGTACTGATTTTCGCGGGAACATTGGAGGTGGTCGTGGTCATGGTAGAGGCCAGGGAGGACGTGGCCCACGAGGACGTGGTCAGGGACCTCGTTATTATTGTCAGCAACTTGGTCATTATGAGGAACGTTGCTATACAAAGTATCCTCACCTACGACCCTCTCATGCTGCTAATATAGCTCAATCGGATACTGCTTCAACTCGTACAGTCTCACTCTCCTCTACAGACTATGTAGCACTCCAGACCCTTCTCAGGAAGGCTTTTCCTCAGTCTCAGCCCTCTGCTTCAGAAACTGGTAATCTCGTAGCTTGTGTTTCTCATTCTGCATCACTTGGTCATTGGATATTTGACTCAGGTGCTACTGATCACCTTTGTGGTAATAAGTAACTCTTTTTATCCCTTACATATTCTGATAATTTACCCTCTTTTACTCTTGCTGATGGCACTAAAGCCCCTGTGCATGGGATTGGACAAATCTGTCCAACCTCCTCATTGACTTTGACATCTGTCTATTATATTCCTGACATCCCTTATAATTTAATCTCTGTTAGTAAATTGATCAACTCTCTTAACTGTATTGTCACCTTCTCAAACGATTCTGTTTCTGTACAGGATCCGGGTACGGGGAAGACGATTGGAGTGGGCCGTGAGTCATGGGGTCTGTTCTACCTCGTTGTGCCGAGTCCTTCAGTTGCTTGCTCTCTCACAGAATCTCCACAACTCATCCACAGTCGCCTCGGGCATCCTAGTTTTTCAAAATTGCAGAAGATGGTTCCTCTTTTATCCGGTCTTCAGACTTTAGATTGTCAGTCATGTCAGCAAGGGAAGCACATACACTCCTCCTTTGCCAATCAAGTCAATAAACGAGTTGATGCTCCTTTTTCAATTATCCATTCAGATATTTGGGGTCCTAGTCGTAGTGTGTCTGTTTTAGGTTTTCGATATTTTGTTACCTTTATTGATGATTTTTTACGTTGTACTTGGATTTATTTAATGTTCTGAGTTATTTTCTATTTATCAAAAATTTTCTGCTGAAATTCATACTCAATTTGGTGCTTCTATTCGTATTTTACGTAGTGATAATGCTAAGGAATATGTTTCTGTTGACTTTTCTAATTTCTTAGCCAAATAGGGTACTTTACACCAAACTACTTGTCCTCACACTCCACAACAAAATGGAGTAGCTGAACGTAAAAATAGACATCTCATTGAGACTGTATGGACTCTTCTTATTCACATGCATGTTCCTCTTCACTTCTGGGCCGATGCAGTCCTTGCCTCGATTTCTCATCAACCGTATGCCTTCATCTGTGCTTAATAATGACATTCCTTATAACTTGTTGCTTCCAAATGTTCCTCTCTATCCTCTATCCCCACATGTCTTTGGTTGTACTTGTTTTGTTCATGATCTCACTCCTGGTAAGGACAAGTTAACATCTAAAGCCTTTAAGTGTATTTTTCTTGGCTATTCTCGTCTTCAAAAGGGTTATCGTTGTTATTCTCCTAATCTTAAGCGTTATTTTGTTTCCGCTGATGTCACTCTTCTTGATCAACAACCCTTTAATTCTATCCCATCTCAATTGTCACAGGTTGATCATGTTCTTTCTGTTCCTTTTCTTGACTTCTCTTTTCCAGCTGCAGGTACTTCTATTCTAGATGAGCAACCTATTGCTTCCATACCTGAGGACCGTCCACTTCTCACCTATCAGCGTCATAAGACTGTGCCTCCTGTCGACTTGACTCTGGCTGACTCATCGTCCACTGCTGTTGATTCTTCCTCTCCGGCTCCTTCACCAGAGGCTCTTCCCATTGCTCAAAGAAAAGGTACATGTACTACTCGTAACCCTTATCCTCTTTATACCTTTTTGAGCTATGACCGTCTTTCTTCTCCTCATTTCACCTTTGTTTCTAGTCTTTCTTCTGTTTCTATTCCTAAGACCACAGGTGAAGCACTTTCCCATCCAGGGTGGCGTCAAGCGATGCTTGATGAGATGACTGCACTTCATTCCAATGGCACTTGGGACCTTGTTTCTGCTCTTCCAGAGAAGTCTATAGTTGGTTGTCGCTGGGTTTTTACTGTGAAAGTTGGACCTGAGGGCCATGTTGATCGTCTCAGGCTCGCTTAGTTGCAAAAGGTTTTACTCAAATCTTTGGCCTTGATTATAGCGACACATTCTCTCTGGTCGCTAAAATGGCGTCAGTTCGCCTATTTCTTGCTCTTGCTGCTGTTCGTCACTGGCCACTCCTTCAACTTGACATAAAAAATACCTTTCTTCATGGTGATTTACAAGAAGTTTACATGGAGCAACCACCTGGTTTTGTTGCTCAGGGGGAGTCTGGGAAGGTGTGTCGTCTTCGCAAATCCTTATATGGTCTCAAGCAGTCTCCTCGGGCATGGTTCAGTCGCTTCAGTTCTGCTGTTCAGGCGTTTGGCTTAATCCGCAGTAAAGTTGACCATTATGTATTTTATAGGATCACATCTCCTGATAAGTGCATCTATTTGTTAGTCTATGTTGATGACATCATTCTCACCGGAAGTGATCAAGTTGGAATTCGTCAGTTAAAACAGCATTCATTCAGTCAATTTCAAACAAAGGACCTTGGGAAGCTGCGTTACTTCTTGGGAATTGAGGTGGCACAATCTAAACAGGGCATTTCTATCTGTCAAAGGAAGTATGCCTTGGATATCCTAGAAGAGACAGGTATGTTGGGGTGTAAACCAGTTGATACACCCATGGATCCCAATGTCAAGTTATTGCCCGGACAGAGGGGGGGGCATTATCTGATGTTGGTCGTTATCGGAGGCTAATTGGGAAGCTAAATTATCTTACTGTGACTAGGCCAGACATTTTTTTCGCTGTTAGTACGGCTAGTCAGTTCCTTGATTCCCCTTGTGATTCTCATTGGGATGCTGCTGTGAGAATCCTCCAATACATCAAAGGAGCACCAGGAAAAGGTTTGTTGTATTCGGATCAGGGAAATACAGAAATTTGTGGTTATTCATATGCTGATTGGGCAGGATCACCCTTAGACAGGCGCTCTACTTCCGGCTATTGTGTCTTCTTTGGAGGAAACTTAATTTCTTGGAAGAGTAAGAAATAACCTGTTGTTGCTCGATCTAGTGCAGAAGCTGAGTATCGTGCAATGGGAGTTACTACCTGTGAGTTAATTTGGTTAAAGCAGTTGATTCAGGAGCTTCATCTTTATGAACAGAAACAACCCATGACACTCATTTGTGACAATCAAGCTGCGCTACATATATCTTCTAATCCTGTATTTCATGAGAGAACCAAACATATAGAGGTTGATTTTTACTTCATTTGAGAAAGGATTCAGTCAGGAGAAATCAAAACGGCTTTTGTCAACTCTAATGATCAACTAGCGGATGTCTTCACTAAAGCTCTTAGAGGTCCTCGGGTTGAATACATTTGTAGCAAGCTTGGTGCTCACAATATATACGCACCAGCTTGAGGTGGAGTGTTAGAATAAGAAATATTAGATATATAGATTTGATTCTGATTTGTATAGATTATAGGGGTGTTCATCAACCGATCCAAACCGATTCAAACCGCAGTAACCGAACCGAAAAACCAAATAAATTGAAAACTGAAAAACCGAAAACCGAAAAAAAACCGCAAATTGGATTGGATCGGTTTTTGGATGGGTTGATGAAAATCGATCCAATCCAAACCGATCCAATATATTAATTCCCCTCTACCTACTTGGGTCTTTCCCTAATCATAGCCTAAAGATTTCTAAATCCAAGACCCATTAACCCATAAACTAAACCAGAAAAAAAATAAGTCACATCTTATCAACAAAATCTTATCTTTGTAGAGCTTCATATCTTATTGCCAAAAAAAAAACAAAACTATATTATAGTTTTTTTTTGGTAACATAACTATATTATAGTTTACTAATGCTTTTGTATTTCAATTTTTTTTTTTACAAAGCCAATATATACAAAAGATGTTATTTGCACAATAATCATGAAATAAATTTTAGAATTGTCAAAAAACAGAAAACCGATCCAATCCAAACCGAAAAAAATTGGATTGGATCGAATCGGATTTGAAAAAAAATCCAAACCGAATAGATTATTATATGATCAAACCGAAGGGATTGGATCAGATGATTTTTGCTTCCAAAACCGATCCAATCCAGACCGCGAACACCCCTAATAGATTAGATTACTTTCCTATCTTTAGATATTCTTTTTGTATAAGATCTGGGCTTCTCACTTAAGTCCATTAGGGTCTCTATATATTGTAATTCTTTGTATTAGATTAATACACAACATATTATTTTATATTCAAGTTGGTATCAGAGCCTCGGTGTACCGGGTTCTATCCTCACCGCCCCCCACTTTATTTCTAGTGGAATTTCTTTCTTCGCACATTTAGGTGGACTTGTGCATTGTCCACTTTTCAAGCCCAGTGGGCTCTCGTGTTAAGGGGCGTGTTGAGATATATAAAATTATTAATGTAGCCTCACCCAACAGCTTAAGCTTTTGGGTTGAATCGGTTCTTTACAGTATTAGGCAGGTTAAACACTTTATTCAAGTGATGGTATAGGCAGCTTAATTTTGCAACTGACTGTATTAGTGAAACTTCATTGTTCACATGTGTCATCAGGTCATGCTGAGCTTTAGTTTTGCTTTTAATTTGGGCATTGCATAAGGAATTTCAATTCTTTCATTATCATTCTATTTGGGTCTGCTTTGTGAATAAAAGATTCAAACTCACTGCAACTGGATATATTAGTTACTTTATCTTGTAAATTATGTTTCAGGCCGAGTGGATGGCTCCAGAGGTGTTGAGGAATGAACCTTCAAATGAAAAGTAATTTTTTTATACTCTTGGTCTTTGTTGTTGTTGTTATTCAACTCCTTAACTTAATATTGCCATAAAATAACATGCGGCATTGCTGCAAACCTCACCCATATTTCTCCTAATATGTATGGTATTTTTAGGGCTTGTTCAGGAACCGGTAACTGTTAATTTTTGCATTGTTTGATGGCTAATTTCTTAAGGAAAAAACTTGTTGGAGTTCTTGGTGACTATGGGTGTGCTTCCACCCTGGTGCTGTTTCTCATGATTTGATTAAATAGTTTCCTGAGAAAAATGAAGCTATGGCATTGTGCATTTTTTTGCTGTATTTGGTTGAAGCAAATGCCTGTGTTTTCAAGGGTGTTGTTTGTCCTCTGATATGATATGGAATAGGGCTTTGTATATTGCCTGTTTGATGTTCTGGACTAGTTTTGCTGTATATTGCTTTGTATGTGGAATAGGGCTTTGTATATTGCCTGTGTTTTGCTGTATATTGCCTGTTTGTCCTCTGATATGATATGATATGGAATAGTTTTTTAGGAGTGCCTCCTTGTGATGCCGAGAGCGTATAGAAAAGTGGCTAAATAGAAAGTTGAGATTTTTATAAAAGAGTAACCCTCAGGTTCTCAATTTCTATTATCAACAAAATTCAACTCCTAGAATAAGGGTCATAAGCACCCTTTTATAGACTAATTACAAATTGATTCAAAATTCAAAAATCTAAAATCTTAAAAATAAGAAAACTTCCTAAAATAAATATAACAGTAATTAGCTTCTAAAAATAAATAAATAATTACAATTAAATCATTCAAAATACGTACCAAATCTTATATCTCAAATCACACCAAATGTGTTGCTTTCCTTTTCTTGTCAAATAAATCAAAATCATATATGTTGCTTTATTGAGACTTGGATTCGATTGTAATTTGTTATATTTCAAATCATTGTCTCTTTCAACAATTTGGTCATACTTATTGGGCCACAACTCTAGTTGTAAAGAACCATTTCAACCCAAAAGCTTAAGCTGTTGGGTAAGGCTACATTAATGGTTTTATATATCTCAACACGCCCCCTCACAACAGAGCCCATTTGGCTTGAAAGGTGGATGACTATGTAGCACCGATACTGACACGTGACACGATACAACACGACACTCTGACACGTTAATTCTAAAAAATGTTAGATTTCGACACGTTAGGACACGTTTTGATATTAAATAATATTTTTAATTTATGTAGTGTATATTATATTTAATATTCAATAATTTAATAAAAATATAAAATTAAACTTATAATATTCATCAATTTTATAAAGAAACATAAGATATTCCAAATATTTATATCAAACTCAATAATATGATAATCGTAATCCAACAAATCTAATAGTTGGAACTAAAAACTCAAGCAACGCAACCTTTGAACCCTTTTTTAAATTTCTATAACACGTGTTGGAGTTGTCGAGGAGTGTCGGACACGACACGTCAGGATTTTTGAAGTGTCGGTGCTTCATAGGTGGATGATGCAACAGGCCCAGCCTACCTGTGCTAAGAAATTCCACAAGAGAAGTGGGGGGCGGAGAGGATCGAACCCGAGACACGAGGCTCTGATACCATGTAAAGAACCAATTCAATCCCAAAGCTTAAGCTGTTGGGTGAGGCTACATTAATGGTTTTTTTAACCTCTTGAATCAATGTTTGAGCCATGTGCAATGGGCCAACTGTAAGTGCATCACCTTATCTTATATATATCATCTCATCTGCAGAGAAGTTGGAAGCCTTGTTGCTGTTTTCAAACTAGTTAGGCTCAAAATTTTCACTAATAAAATCTTTTCATCAACATCACCTTTATCCCAAACTAGTTGGGATTGGTAGCAGATGAACTCAAATGAAAAGTATGAAAAAATTGAGGGAAAAAAAAGGATAAAAATAAAATTAAAAGAAATATAATAACACTAGAAATGAAAACATAGCCATAAACAATTTAGAAGAAAAAAGAAAGAAAGTGAAAATAAAGATATATAAGAGGAAAAAAAAAGAAAGTAAAAATAAAAATACATAAAAAAAATAAAGAAATAGAGAGATAAAAATAAAGAAAAAAGAGGAAAAACTTGAAGCCTGCTTACTTGCTGAATCATCTGGAGTTTTAGGGAAAAAAACAATTCGGATTTTATTTTCATGTAAAATTTTGTTCTTTGGCTTGATCCCTTGTCTCACACCAATGTTCTCATTGACTTTGTTACTTTTTAATCCCTCATTGTTTTATGATGCTAATAAGTTGTGATCCAATATCTAGGTGTGACGTTTATAGCTTTGGGGTCATATTATGGGAGCTCTCTACTTTGCAGCAACCCTGGGGAGGAATGAATCCAATGCAGGTTGTTGGTGCTGTGGGTTTCCAACATCGCCGTCTTGACATCCCAGACGATGTGGACCCTGCCATTGCTGATATTATCAGGAAATGCTGGCAGACGTGAGTATATTTTTTAATCATTTTATGCTTTCATTCTAAGATGTCTGTAAATTTGTTTATTTTTATGCATTTTCTTCATGGCATTTGTGAGGAAGAGTAGAGATGAGAATTGTATTGTAATGGGATAATCTGTAAAACACAGACACCCTATGTATTTTATATATATATATATATATATATATAAACTCACTCTCCGTTAAACCCGACTAACGAGTGTGGGGTGGAGAAAATCCTTGTACGCAGCCTTACCCTTGCATAATTGCAAAGAGGCTGTTTCCTGGATTCGAACTCATGACCTTTCAGTCATGAAGGAACAGTTTTACAACTGCTCCAGTTCGCTCCCTTAAAAACCACTCATCACTTAAACCCGACTAGCGAATGTGGGGTGAGGGCAATCCTTGCAAGTAGCCTTACCCTTGCAAATAATTGCAAAGAGGCTGTTTCTTGGATTCGAACCCATGACCTTTCAGTTACAAAGGAACAATTTTACCACTGCTCCAGTTTACCCTCTAATAAAAAAATCACTCCTCGTTTAACCTGACTAGCGAGTGTGGGGTGGAGGAAATCTTTGTACGCAACCTTACCTTAGCATAATTACAAAGAGGCTCTTTTCTGTATTCGAATATATATATATATATATATATATATATATATATATATATATATTTTGGATAAACCCTATGGATATATGCTCTCAAATATTTCCCTAGTATTCTTCTTAGTATATTTTTGGCTGTTGGTGTACTCTCGCTGGGAGGTGCATCTCTGTATGAGTTTACATGTTAACACCGTTGTAGGCATGATATATGTTAGAGAAATATAATATCAAACCATTAATATGACTTTTAGCCAACAACTTAAGTTTTTGGGTTGAAATAATTTTTTACATAGTATCAAAGCCTATGTGACCAAGTGGTCACGACTTTGATTTTCACAGTCCCCATTTTATTAATAGATAATTGAATATTATATAGTTTCTTAGCACAGATAAATGGGTCTATGCATTATCCACTCTTCAAGCTTAGTTGACTATTGTATGAGGGGGCATGTTAAAAAAATATAATATAAAACTATTATTTAGCCTTCACCTATCAGCTTAAGCTTTTGGATTGAAATAGTTCTTTATTATATAATTCAGATGTTTCTTTATGAATAGTTGCAGCAGAACAGAACATGCTCGAGAACTTGCAAAGGATATAAGCTTGCTTTTTTAGTTTGGGAATATGAATTTTACAATAATGTATTTCGTTATTGCATGTTATAGATATATATTACCGTGAAAGAATTTCTTTTTTCCAGTGACTGGATGTTACTATTTTGTATTATAGAGATCCAAAGTTGAGACCTACATTTGCTGAAATATTGGCGGCTCTGAAGCCATTACAGAAGCCAATAATTGGTTCTCAAGTGCCTCGACCAAGTGCACCCGGTAAGCATGAGAAGGCTCAGTCATCACGTGTGGCAGAAGACTCAGCAAGATAGGAAACAATCATACAACTAACCAAATCTTTGTTCATTTTGCTGCTAAAAAATGGAGGACAAGTTGTATAGTTTTTTTGAATGAAAAGAGTGAGTGGTTGAAGCTATCACCTAACTTAATTCTAGTTCAAGGTTGTGATTCTTTTCACTCTTGTGCCTTTCCTTTTCTTTTTTCTTTGTTTTCTCCTTTTTATTTGTTGGTTTTCCTTCTGCAATCTGCAGTGCAGTCATTGTCAAGCTGTACCGTTTGTTTGTAACACAATTCTTTTGTAATTGTTGTAACCAATTCTAAATTTTGATACCCAAAAATAGTTATGAAATTATGGAGCTATATAACTTGAACAAAAGATGGAGAAAGGGTGAAAACAGTTTTTTGATTGTGTAAATGCTTTAAATTTTGTGTGCCTATTTGGATTGTGCCAACATCCTCTCACACTCTGCTTGCCCAATGTGTGAAAAAAAATAAAAATAAAATGGTAAACATGCAAAATTTGAGTTTGGAGCTATGGAAATCAAATCTGCATTTGGAGAAATGACACTTTTGTCACCAGGCTCAAAACACAGCAAAGTAGTTGGCCTCACAAGAGTATCAATGTACCATAAACCTCATAGCAGTGTCTTCTTGCTTTCCATCATATTTACCTTCTCTAGATCAATCACTTCACCTCTATCTCTTCAATAATAATAATAATAATGAAGCTATTTGAAAAAATAGCACCTAAATGGTTTTTTGAATAAATCTGTAAATCTCCACCATTGGTTTTTGATAGAAGAGAAATGAATTAAGCTTTGCCTTATATTCATGCAGCTAACAATCTTAGTTGGTAAATTTGTTTTTACCTTGATCTTCCTATCTCAGTTGGTGATTTTTTCTTCCTTGAGCACAAAAATTTGAAACTGAAACTGGCCTCGACACAGATGGAAGGGTTAAGAAAAGATTATAACAAGAACTCCAACCATGAAATCAAAACTCAATTGTGTATTCATTTTTCTCATGCGAACATAAAAAAGTGAATCTGACCTACTAAGGTGAATGTGTATTCATCTTTTCTCTCATGTGTATGTACGAGACTATTTTGTCTTGTGTAACATGAGAAATTATATTTCCTCTATTTTTTCATATAATCGAATATAGTTGAGTTCATAATGTTAGTTCAGATGAGCCCAAAAAAATTATTAGAGAAATGTGACAAAAGATGAAAAATTACTGTTTAAATTCTTTTATCCAAATGACAAATTACTGTTTTAGTGTCTTTTTTTTTTCTCCGTCTTTCTTGTAGGCTTAATTCTTGACATTCAAATTTCACTTCGATAAAACATCACTTATTCAGTGTCATGTATAGTGGAGTCAAAGCTTTTGCATGAATTGATAGTGTATAAAAGATAGTCACAATGACTTCATAAAATTGTATCGTATGGTTGCCTTTTATTTGAGTTTTTTACAAATATATTTTGGATATCACACGAGTAAACTCTGTAACCGTCTATATAATTCGAGAGCCAGAAAATTTTGAGTAGAATAACATCTCCCAGCAATAAAACAAAAAATTAAATGAGGAAAATTTTACATAAAAGAGAAGTGATATAAGAAAAACGTGGGCATAAGGACAAGTCTCTTATCTTTTTCCAATGAAGAAATTGTTTTGAAAAATATTTTCACTCATATATATATATATATATATATTTTTTTTTTTTTTTTGGTGAGGTATTTTCACTCATATTAACCATAAATTTGATAGTTTAGGATGAATTATTTATGGGTCCTTTTTTTTCATGTTGCTGGAATTTGAAATTCTCCTACAAATTATGAATTCGGAGAGTAAATAGTTATAATATAAGAAAAAAATAACTTTTAATATTATAATTATGTACTTCCCAGAGTACATAGATATAGGGGGTATGATTTTTTTTTAATATTATAAATATGTACTTCCCGAAGTATATAATTTGTAGGAGAATTTCAAATTCCTACAACATGAGAGCCTATTATCCTATTATTTATATCTAAAATGGAGGTTACATTTGTTGGCCACTATATAGCAAGATTGCTTTGCATGTTTTGTTTTATTTTTAATAAAAATATGTTAAAAATAAAAATGGATATTTTTTGGAAATATTTTAAAAATAATACCAAATTTGAAGATCACAATAGACACTTTCTTTATTTTTGAAAAAAGAAACAAAAATTTAGTGATAAATGTCTGATTATGACAATAAAACATATCAACTAAACACCCTTTTTTTTTTTTAAGGAATATGTCTCCTGTATTCGAAAATAAAAAATGACGATAATTGTTATTACAATGATAAAACCACTTCCCTATTTATTTCAATCTTTGAAGATTTTACTTCAAAATATAGCTCGTGGGCTAAAAAGACGTAACTAATATAAATTCAAAAATAATATGATCAGTTATGTAGGGAGGATAAATTCACAATTAGTTGTGCATAGATGGAATGCCTAACTAGTTGTACATACCTCCATGTGCAATTCACATGATAATGTCAGAGCTAGGGATGAAAGTGGGCTGAGTTGGGTCAAACTTTGTCTCAAAAAGTCTAACCCTACATCAAATTTTTTTAATTTAGACTGGTCCAAACTTAGTATGAGTCTAATTGTTCGCCTACTTGGTCCGTTTATAAAAAAATAAATGGTCTGACCTAACCCGTTAGCATATTAATTTTTAACTTCTAAGTAGAACCATGAATCAACTTTACAAAATATTCAAATTCTGTTGCTAAACCAAAAATCATAATTTCAACGTCTAAACAGAATCATGAATCACAACAAAACTCATACAATCTGTAATTAAGTCACTTTCAAACGCAAAATGCTCAAACTAACTAATATATATTTTATCATATCCAACAAACAAATCCATACTATGTAAATTAAAATAACTACATGAATCCAACAAACACATCATGATGCTTGTAGTAAGTATAATTTCTCCCAAAAATCTTTTAATATATTTATATACACAATTTAACATGCTGAGATGTTGGTTTCTCCTATATAAGAAATAAAGTCATATTTTTATTAAAATATAAGCGAATATAATTAAGTTATAAATAATTGCAATTGATTAAATTTATATTTTTTATTTTTTCTTCAAGACATACTTATTCTATTTATTTTATTTAAAATAAATAATACAATATAGGTCGGCTTGTAGGCTTATAGGTCAGGCTTTGTGAAAGTGAGTTTACGGCTTTTTATTAAACAAGTTTTTTCAAGGTCCAAACCCGACCTATTTTACGAAATATACTAAGTTAGATCTGACCTGATATAGCCAAGCCATAAGCCCCGTAAACCGGTCCGACCAAGTTTCATCTCTAGTCAACAACTAGTTGTACATTACATACACACTTTAATCCCTCTACTCCACGTAAATATTGATTAGCATCACAAATATTTATATAGTCGAATAATAATTAACATAATAAATATGAGCTAAACAAAAATTAAAATAATTTTTCTAAAAATAAAAAATAATTATGATTTAATAATTATGATTTTTTATTTTCGGTGAAATAATTCAAATAAAGCAGATAATTTAAATTTATTTAAATTATTTCACCGAAAATGGAAAAAAATCAATTATCAAATTATGATCAATTACGATTTAATAATTAATTTTTTTTTTCATTTTTTGGCAAAAAAATTCAAACAAAAAACAAAATAAAATCATGATTAATATAATAAGTTTAACATTTTTAAATTTAAAAAATCAATTATTTTGTGGATCAAGAGTGGTACATAAGGTGTGTACAACTCAACTAATTATGTTACGTGGCAGTTCCACAGTCCATGTGTAAATGATTGGGTATTTCTCTCATGAACAATTGATTATATTATTTCTGTAAATAATTTTTATTTACAGTTGCACATTCCATATGTGTAATTGTAAGTGTAACTGGTTGGATATCTCTCTCATGAACAATTGATTATATTATTTCTCGAAATAAATTTGTTGCATTATTAACTAATTTATTTTTAAATTTGCATTGGTTCGCGTCTTTGTACCTTTTAACATTAGGGGATTAATTTTCTCATTTTACATGAGAAAATTTTCGCATGCGACACATTCAATACATGAGTGGGGTTCACAAAAAGGTGATAAGACAAAGAAATCAAGATGGGATCCACTTTTTAATTGTATGTGTAACATGAGAATCTTTTCTCATGTAAAATGAGAAAAAATTAACCCTTAACACTATTGAGCATGCATTGTCATTTGTCAATGCCAGTTTTAAACATTTCCGTTTTGCCACTATCAGATGGTGATTGCTTCTACTGTTATTAAAATATAATAAAATAAACGAACGAGGGAAAGCAAAAATAGCATGCCATTTACGGATCACGTCTTCATTACACATACACCTTCAAAGGCATCCACAGCAAGATCATTTTCTGTTAATATTCTCATGAGAAGATATTTATGCAAAATAATAAATATTTACTACTATTATAAATTGTGAATCTAAGGAATACTTTTGATTAGAATCTTGTAAATTTGTTTGCAAACAAGCATTACATAAGATTTCAGAGCAAGCTTGTTGAATCGCAATACTACCGTGTATCATTTGACTAATTTTTTATATCATATATCATTAATCGTAGCGAATCGTAAGATACAAAAATATAATAAAAAATAATTTTAAAATATATATTTAATTATTTTCTTTATTAATACAAAATTTTCAGATTAATTTTTGAGTTTAAATCATAAAATCAAATCTTTATTTTATTTTCCTTATTAATAATTATTTTTTAGATTTTTTTAATTTAAATCATAAATTAAATCCTTTATTTCTTTTGATTTGTATTAAAAATTTTAAATTTTGATTTAATTTTCATATCGTGTAATACACGATGCGTATCGTAATGTACGATACAGTATCGTCCGATTTACAAAAAAATTTCAAATACACCTAGCGATATGTATTGTTGTGCTTGCAAATCGTATCATATCATACGAATCATATCATGTATCATAAAATACTGATAATTATGTTTCATATATTTTAACTTATTATTTGATCACTGTAACTTAAAAAAAAACACAAAAACTTATTTTGTCATTAAGGAGAAACGGGTGACTTAAAGACAACCTTTACAAATCCATGTGGTCTTGGAAATTTTTTTTAGAGTATTTTAGTTATTTTGTTTTATTTATTATCATTTTACTAAAATGTATTGTATTTTTTTTAAGAGTTTCGTGTTTGTCATTTTAAATGACATAACTTTATGTCATTTAAAATGACAAACATTTTTTTCTTTTTTTAAAGTGTTCGTTTTTTCTGCAGTTACTGCAGATAACTTATCTGCAGTAAGTCCAATACGACGTCGTTTTGGGGCGGAAATCATGGTATTTTTGTAATTTTAATTTATTTAGGGTTATAATAGTCTTTATATTTATAATTTTTTAATATTTCAATACCAAAACGACGTGGTTTTGGGAATAAATGCAGATAACTTATCTGCAGAAATATTTTTCCCTTTTTTAAATCCTAAAACAATATCTTTTTAAATTGCAGCAAATATTTTATCTCATGCAATGAAAAAGTTAATCCCTTAAAAAAATCCCATGTTATCATGATGAGATAGGATATTTTACTTATTATTTTTTCTGTCTATCTCCGCATATCACCTTTAACACTGTTAGATCATAATCTTGAGATTCTGATCTAAGAGTGCTGGAGGGTGATAGAAAAAGATAGACAAAAAAAAATAGATAAAATAATCTATCATTATCTTGATAGACACTTTATATTTGGGTTATATTTCTCTTATTTTGCGTAAGATAAATAAATTTTCAGCACACATCAAAGATGAATTGGTCACATTTTTATGTTTTTCCTATTCTCTGAATCTCACTTATAATTTTATTTTTATTATATAAGATAACTCTTGTTTTCTGTAATATAAAAAAATTATTTCCCTTTATATTTATCAGAAACAATAGGAAATTGAATCAGAATAACACAAACTTGAATTATTTTTCATGTTGTCTCCGCGGCCTTCGGGCTAAAAAATTTACCCAAAAATAAAAATAAAAATAAAAATAAAGTAAAAATATTTCAGACAGAAAAAAGAGAACTAGAAAAGGGAAGAGAGAGAGAGAGGCAATGGTGGATTGGAGTGGCGCAGATTGAGGAAGAGACAGTTTATATGGGTGGTGGAGGAACACTCGCGGATGGCATTCGTCGCCTCTTCCATCGTCGAACTTCTATTAACTCTAACGTTGTTAATGACAACAACATTAATACTGGTGTTGGAAGCAATGCCAACAACGTTAACGATACCAACGTTAAAGAAGAAGAAAACAATAACAACAACAACGACGTCCTCGTGACAGATTCACGCGCCCATTTGGACACAGTTCCCACACACGAAACCGATCAACGCTTTCTTGATAACTCTTCATTGAAGCTTCTCAAAGTGCCTTCACGCTTCCACTTCAATACTTCTTCCATGGATCGTAACAAAAAGGTCCCATTTTAAAAAAAATAAAACTTTTTTGTTGGGTTCCGTTTTTATTGTTTCTCAGAATGAAGATCGAGCCTTTTTATTTTTTATTTTTATTTTTTTTTGTAGTTTAGCTTATTTGGGTAATGAGTGTTGCTCAAGTTTCAATTTTTTTCCTACCCTTTTTTGTGTTTGTTTGATTTTTGTTTTGTTTTATGATTTGTTATTTATCTGATCAATTGGGTTATATATATCTGTGTTTGGTATTTTGGTTTTGGCTTTTGTGTGTGTATGTTTGTGTGTGGTTTTCTATTTGTTTGTTTAAGTTTTGTATGGGAATATGCAAAAAGATTGTCACTGATTACATTTGGTGCTTCTTCCTGGTTAGTTGTGAGAACTAAGAGGTAGCATTCAGTAATTACCAAGTTAGCCCAGTCTTGCTTAACTTTCCTTTTCTTGCTATGTTCTCTTGACAATGGGAAATAAAGAGGAAGAGGCATAGTTAGGAATTAGCATGATTTTGATTTATACCCAATTACCCATGTACTCTTGACTATAGTTAGGAATTAGCATGATTTTGAATCAAGCAGTAGTTTGATGGTGTTGGTTCTGAAGTTTCTAGTGTTTCACTTTGACGTGCTATCACAAATGCATTTAATATGAAAAAGTGCCAACTTTCATGGCATTGTGAATTTGCAAGGCTGTCTCCAATTTGACTGTCCCACACATATTCTTGTTATGTTTTCTGATGTTTCCTACATTTGTGTTTTACATCCGTTACACTAGAATTTGCAGTGGGTCAAAATACAACATCAAATTAACATGTAGTCCTCAAATCATCTTTACATGTTATTTGTCTCTTTCTACATAATGTTTTCTGGTTATCAAACAGGGCGCCTCAGAGACAGAGTTTTTTACTGAGTATGGAGAGGCAAATCGGTACGAGATCCAAGAAGTGGTTGGCAAAGGAAGTTATGGTGTTGTAGGTTCTGCCATAGACACTCATACTGGGGAAAAGGTTGCAATTAAGAAAATCAATGATGTTTTTGAGCATGTATCTGATGCCACGCGAATCCTAAGAGAAATTAAACTCCTTCGTTTGATCCGACATCCCGATATAGTAGAAATTAAGCATATAATGCTTCCTCCCTCACGGAGAGAGTTCAGGGATGTCTATGTTGTGTTTGAGTTGATGGAGTCTGACCTTCATCAAGTTATTAAGGCAAATGATGATCTTACACCTGAGCATTACCAATTTTTTTTGTACCAACTTCTTCGGGGCCTGAAATATATACATTCAGGTATCCTTGTATCTCTTTAAGTCCTTGGCTTTTGTAGATAGTGATATTATACTAAAATAATATTTTCCTTGCAGCAAATGTGTTTCATCGTGACTTGAAGCCAAAAAATATTCTAGCTAATGCTGATTGCAAACTAAAAATATGTGATTTTGGGCTTGCTCGGGTTTCCTTTAATGAGGCTCCATCAGCTATATTCTGGACTGTAAGTATTCTGTTGTGCATGCCATGGCAATCTGTTGCACTTTTTAATTCTGTTCTGCCTTTTAAGATATTTAGCAGGAAATTGCAATTGAATTCATTGTTTCTGTTCCATAATTGTCCTTCTAAAGATCTTGCTGACTTGTTTTACCTTACTAAGGACTATGTTGCAACTCGGTGGTATCGTGCACCGGAACTATGTGGTTCTTTTTTCTCAAAGGTAAGCTTCTTTTCTTCTTTGCACCTTGCATCCCCCTTTTCTGTAGAGTTAATGCAATTATTTTATTGCTTCAAATACAATTATTTTTAATTATGTGATATAGTTCATTTCTCTCTTTTCTTACCTTTGAATTCCGAACATTAGCTTGATGTGCATATATAATACTATCTACATGGAAATATTATACTTCTTTAATGTAGAGTTAACTGTGTTAATTTCCTTGTTCTTGCCATATCTGTGGTGATAATTGCTATCACACATATCCTTGCCTTATATTTATTTATTTATTTCTATATTATTTTTTTCAGAGAAAGGAAGAAAGTAGAACTAGGGGATGATAAGATAACCTCCAAAACAACAAGAACTAGATAAAATTAGGACAATTAAAGAACACAAGAAATCAAGAACTGGTAGTTGTTACCTATATCTAAAGGGATTGTGATTTATGTTATTCTTAAACCTTTCTTTGTAGTTTGTATATATTTTATCAAATATCAATTGCTACATATACGTCATATTATGTTTCAGTTGCTCCTTCATTATCCTTTTGCGGAAGCCTTTTATGCACTAGAGCAGTTACCTCTTCTATCCTCCCCTGCCTTGGTTGTGTATGATATAAGAAGTTGAATATACGTAAAATATAGAAGTATATGTGTAATTTTAAATACTTGTCTTTTGCAGTATACCCCCGCAATTGATGTTTGGAGCATTGGATGCATATTTGCAGAAATGCTCAGCGGGAAGCCAGTGTTTCCTGGGAAAAATGTGGTACACCAATTGGATCTCATGACTGATTTGCTTGGTACTCCTCCTGCTGAATCCATTTCGAAGGTTAGTTTATCCAAATCTAGTCTGAAGTTTTTAACATCAATAGGCAAGCTTATGACATGCTGTAGCCTGTAATGACAAATAATATTAATTATAAACTTATTTTTTTCTTGTTTTGAAGTGCTTCATGCCGGATTTTTTTACCTTATGATATGTTGTAATAAATGCCTTTTTATCTTGTTTTACTACCTCTCCCTTGTCGTCTTGTAAATAATTTTAATCTTAATATTACAGATTCGAAATGAGAAGGCTAGACGTTACCTTAGTAGCATGCGGAAAAAGCAACCAGTTCCATTCTCTAAAAAATTTCCAAATGTAGATCCGTTGGCTCTTCATTTACTGGAAAGATTACTTGCATTTGATCCTAAAGATCGTCCAACAGCTGAAGAGGTTGATTTTCAGTTTTGTTGGATGTACTGAATGAAACATCTTTAAGATAAATGTGAGGATACAACTTCCCAGGTTCCTTATTTCTTTGTTATGCTTGTGATTGCAGGCATTATCTGATCCTTACTTCCATGGTTTGTCCAATGTGGACCGTGAACCAACCACTCAACCCATTTCAAAACTTGAGTTTGAGTTTGAGAGAAGAAAATTGACCAAAGATGATGTTAGAGAGTTGATTTATCGAGAGGTATGGCCATATATTTCAATGACTCTCGCTTCAATTTATTGTCTTCTCCTCTTTGCCTTGGTAATGGTAATAATTAGTATACATTTGTACTAAACAGATTTTAGAGTATCATCCCCAGATGCTCGAAGAATATCTTCGTGGTGGAGACCAAACCAGCTTCATGTATCCAAGGTAGAGCAGTAATGCTGAGCTATCCTTTTCTCTAATTCAATTGGTTTTAAGATTTCTGGTAGTGCTATCATTGAACAATGGTTTTTAAGTAAGTTAATTTTAGGCTAAATATTTAGTACAATCTAAGTTCTTGTTTTGATTTTGGAATATGATCTAATATTCATAATTGAAATAATTTTTTTCTGGTTTATAGTGTTCTCAAACTTCATATCCTAGTATTTTGTTGCAAAACTTTGATATTTATTAATTATTGCTTCTATCATAAGAGTATTTGATTAGATGTATGGTTTTAACAATTTTTTGATATTACTCTTAGTGCATGTCTTAAGAGAGCTTTTAACCTATCCCAATGATTATTAGTCTAGGTTTCATGATTCATTGATTATATTGTGACGGTCTGGTACATGGCATGTATATCTGGCCAGGTTACGATGATCTAAACCTCTGTGCCTGAACAGCCTATGCATTTGAAAATTGTTGGCTTGATGCATATGTGAAAGCAGATATGCTCAGACTACATGTCTGTCCTACCTCTAGGCATGTTCTTTCATAAATGAAACAAGATATTCAGCCAGCTTTTAGGATATGCTTTTCATTATACCTAATTTTATAGCCATTGTCAGGATCCCTTGTATACATTTATTGTCAATGCACCAAGGTTCTGTTGGATTTTTTCTATGCAAATTCTTATCAAAGTAGTTAATTGCGTCGCACCAGAACACAATAGTGGCCATTGCGATCGCATTTGCTGCCAAATCGTGGCCATATTGCTGTCATAAGGCAAAATGTCAATTTTGTCTTAAATTTAAATGTGTAACAGAAATTTTTGAAGAGTTTTTCAGTCTATCTCTGTCTCTCTCGGTCACTTCTGCTATCTCTGCCTTTAAAAAATACCTTTTTTTGTCATTATTTCTGTCATATATCTATTCCGCTATTTTCGCAACCGCAACCCGCTATAGCATTTTTCGGGGTTGGCCGTGACATGCCGCAATCCACATTTGATAACTTTGATTCTTATACAGAACTAGAGCCCCCATTAGAAAACATCGACATGCGTGCTTGATTTGCCTTCTAAAATTTCAATTCCTTCTAAATATCAGTTTCGGTTGATGATTCTTGTACAGGTAAAATTTTCGACTTCTGAGAAGCAGCTGTTGGTTAATTGTCTGTGTTTTGCATGTCATCTAAGAACTGTGGAATGTGGGTTCTTTGAAAGTGTTGCATGTTTGGGATATTAGTTAGTAATTCTGTGTTATCTTGTTGCACAGTGGGGTTGATCGTTTCAAGCGACAGTTTGCACATCTTGAGGAGCATTATGGCAAAGGTGAACGAAGCACTCCACTGCTGAGACAGCATGCCTCCTTACCTAGGTAAGTTTTGGTTAAACTTCTCGGTCCCTTGTCAGTTTCTTGATCCAAACTTGGTGAACCTGTTCAAATACATGTGGATTTTCATACTTGTGCACTGAATAACAGCCTGTTCTTTTGGAGGTTTATTTTGTGTATATTTTTTTATTACCATCATAGGTTTTAAAATTTTTAATCCAGATTATTATTGTATCCACAATCTTCATAGATGAGGCAGCCTGTTATGCCTGAAAGCTTTATCTCTGATATCGTTTAAGAGTCATGTATTGACAATTTCAATTTCACTTTTTTTTTAGAGAGCGAGTTTCTACTCCCAAGGATGAAAATGATCAAAACAATGATGAAAAGCCTACTGGATCAAATCTTCAGAGTCCTCCAGGGTCTAATGTGATGGATTCTGGAAACTCGGATGCACAAAATGGAATCTCCAAGCCGAACTACAGCTCGCGTAGCCTGTTGAAGAGTGCCAGCATTAGTGGTTCCAAATGTATAGATGTGAAACAAAGTAAAAATCCAGAGGTAGTTAACTCTTCTTTCAAGTGCTGTCCTTGTTTTGGGTAAAATGGAATGGTATTAGCTGGAGAGTTTGAAATCATTAAAATATATAATTGGTTAGGATTTCCTTGTTCTACCAAGTAAGAACACAGTGACTTATTGAGACTTCCTTCAACCATCTTACATATTAGTCCTTTCTAAGTTTCTATATTCTCGTAAACGTTTCATGTCATAAAAATAACCTTTTTTTTTTAAATGGTTGGCTCGTTATGCTTGACGCCAACCTTTTTCCTTTATCCTGTCTTGTGACTGGTTATGTTTTGGTTGACCCTTTTTAGTTCCTTTTCCCAATATTTATTTATCTTTCTCTCTTGTTCTTCTCTTCCCTCAATCTTTTGTTGCTTTTTATTTGAGTTCATAAACCAAATTAGTTTTGGTTAAAAGGTAAAATTGATGTTGATGTAAGTTCTATATTATGCCATTTTTTCCTTTCAAAATTTTGGTCTGTCTGGCATATTTCGTGTAGTCATAAGAATAAACAATATACATCTTCCTTCAAATGATCTGTATTTATTTTCCAGTTTGCATTCTTTAGAATACATTTCTCTCCTGGTTAAGTTGACGGTGCTCCTTTTTCGATAGGAGGAGCCAATTACCGAAGTTAATGATGAGATATTGGACGAGTTGACAGAGAAGATTTCTACCCTCCATGCATAAATCAAGCTATAGATTTGTATGGACATTTGTAAATCAAGTAAATAAATCAATATTTGACTAGTTTTTCTTCCTTATCATTTTCATAGTTGTCAAAGAGAGCACGAATAATTGTTTCGAAAGTTATATAACATCAGGGATGCAACCCTTGTCTTCCACTTCTGATAGCAAGACCAATTTTTCATCAAACACACCCTCTTTATTAAGACCATGTTCTGGACATTTCTATGATATCTTTTAATCAAAATATATTGGAAAGCCTCTTGTGCATTCGTAAGTCTTCCACCCTTAAGAATGCACAAGAGGTCTTCCAGAATTTTTTTTGATTGAAGACTATCATATAAATGTCTAGATGTATACTGTTATCGATTGTTTTGTTAAGAGGGTTTGTTTAATGAAGCATTGGCCTTGCTATAACTTTTGAAAGACAATGGTTGCATGTTGCATCCCTAGTGCTATAACTTTTGAAATAATTATTCGTGCTTTCTATGAAAAACATATGAATGATAAGGCAAGAGGGATATTGTGAGAGTAAAAGTAGGTCAGATTCTTTCTAGTTTCACATTAAGTTATTTTGAATTTTGATGACGGCCGGCCAATCTGTATTTCTGTCTATAATTACACATAAAAAAGGAAGATGATGGATTTTGCAATGGACTCATTACCACATTAATTTTGATTAAATTCTAATGTTGTTAGGTTCATATTGATATTGTAATGATAAGAATGGTAATTTTTTTTTTTTTTTTTTAACTCCTGGCCAAAACTTAGTTCCTTCAAATCATCAATGCAACTCTACTTTGCTGTTGCTAATTAATCACACTTTGCTTCATGTTGAGATAGATGCAATGCATCTGTAACACCCCTGTCGGCCGCCAGTTTGTTAACTTACACATGATACTTAAAGCACAGAATAATTAAATTTTGAAGCGGAAAGCTTTAGCAAATATTTCACCGTTACTTAAATAACTAGTGATGATGGCCGGCCAATCTGTATTTCTGTCTATAATTACACATAAAAAAGGAAGATGATGGATTTTGCAATGGACTCATTACCACATTAATTTTGATTAAATTCTAATGTTGTTAGGTTCATATTGATATTGTAATGATAAGAATGGTAAATTTTTTTTTTTTTTTAACTCCTGGCCAAAACTTAGTTCCTTCAAATCATCAATGCAACTCTACTTTGCTGTTGCTAATTAATCACACTTTGCTTCATGTTGAGATAGATGCAATGCATTTGTAACACCCGGTTTGTTAACTTACACATGATACTTAAAGCACAGAATAATTAAATTCTGAAGCGGAAAGCTTAAGCAAATATTTCACCGTTACTTAAATAACTAGTCACTTAATTTTTTTCCTTTTAAATTATCTTTACGTATCGTCGTGCATAATTTATTTTTCATGTAACATAATCTATACAGTCACATATCTGCATAGAATCCATACTTAATAAACATGTGACCATAATTAATGGTCATATCACTATCCGAATATGATAATGAATACCATTTCTAATAGAGTCTTTACGGAGAGCATAACAACGGTAAATTGGACTAATCTAGGGATCAAATCTCACTTCCTACATAACACCAGATAAACAGAAAAGTCCAATCCATATATATACATACATACTAGAACATGGCTCTATGCCACTACTGATATCAACCTACTTAACAACATACACACTTATACATAATCCTGTCATATGTATACAATTATCTATAGGCTATATATGCCTCTCAAAATGGAATACTGTACATATGCATGAACATAACATATCATGCTCAACAAAACCTATACATATATAGTGATGCTCCAGAATGCTACACTAGCTAACTGCTCCAGCTAGTCTCTAGCCATCCTGAACTGGTCTCTTACCCTGTGAGGGCTTTCCTGCATCTGTAGTACCTGAAAAGTAAGTCCCCAGACGGGGTGAGATTAACCATCTTAGTAAACCCAGGGTTTATGGAGTAGTCTTTATCCATGAGTTCGCTTCCTACATAAATGTCAGATAACATAGCATATAATACATCATATATTTCATCACATACATATTTCATACATATACATATTCCTAAGCTATACTCCATGGGCTGTATCTCGCAAAGAGATCTTAACCTATACATATACTCCCAGGGGCTATATCCCGCAGAGGAGATCATAACATATATCTATACTTATACTCCTAAGGGTTGTATCCCGCAAAGGAGATCTTAACATAAACGTATACTCTCAGGGGTTATATCCTGCAAAGGAGTCTACACCTGTACTCTCCAATCCTATACGTACCATAACATATTTCTTTATAACCTATCACATAGCAATATATCATATTACTTCATACTATTTCTTATCATATAACATAACATAAGACTCTCACGACGTAATTTCTCACTTTGACCAGTCCATAGATAATCTCTGAGAACGTAAGTCTTCAATGGAGTGTTCATTGATCAAGAACCATATATCATACATACATATCATATTGTGTCATGTCATATCATATCATCTGCATGAGCTACATGAATGCAACTATGTTACATACCTACATTCATCACAGTATATACCATATGAACCATCATCCAAACGGACTATGGTGGAACAACATACCGGAGAAAACTTCGAAACTAAGAGTTTACCTGAAACTAGCTTTTCTGTAAACCCTGCTCGTACGTCACTAAAGTTATCCGTATATTCGTAATTTTCAAAATCACCTATTCAAACATGATCTTCATGTCAATACATAATTACTTACACTTGAAGAATTCCCTTATATACATACATATTTTGAAATTCTTCCTCAAGTTAGTTTACATAATTCATAACATATTCTTACTTATCAATTCATAGCAATTCACAAGTCAATACTCAAACTTAAACATATACTTAAAGTCTTACATATAACACATTTAACCTAATTCACTTAACCCATAGGTTAACTTAGGTCTCCACACTTTCACCATACATAACATACACTTAATTTTATTTGATTTATACAACCAAGCACTTAATTGAATTAAAAACCATACCTAGATCACATAACCACATAGTGGTCGAATGGTACTAGTAAGGTTACCATGCATTTCATGCATTCTATTCTTCATCAAAGACTACACAAAACAACTCTTAACTTTATTTTCCATTATTAAGCTCAATGATCACATAAAGTGTCAATAACCATTCTATGCTTTCAACTAATAAATCAACTAATTCATTTCATCCTAATACATTCATTTAGCACCAAACATCCTTAAAACATAAGCCAACAAGCTTCCAAGCCTTTTTTTTTACTCAATATGGCCGAAATAGTGACTTAATTTTCAGTCTGAATAGTCCGCACCATTTAATTCACTTAAAATTCATTTCTCATCCGTTTGCCCTGAAATTTTAGTATGTTATACTAGACACCCACAGCTGTAATTTGCAACAAACAACACTCAATTTGGAGGTTTATAACTCTAGTATGAATTTTTGAAAAATAGGACAGATTTGAGGTTTACATGTTCCACGAATTTCATTCAACTTCCAATGATTCAAACTTAATCCAATCAACTCCATACTCATCAAAACACAACATATACTCCAATTTAACATGGTTTATGACTACTTAAAACCCTTACAAAATTCCATAGAATTTTATCATATTATTTAATTAAATTTTAGACCTAATTTTTGCTTAATTGCAAAATGGTCCCTATACTTTCACATAATTAAAATTTGGCCCCTAAACTTTTCAAGTATTATTTTTAGGGTCCTACTTGACTTGCTTGGCATGAATTGTATTTTCATAATTTATTTCATGTCAATTGAATGATTAACGGATCAATTCTACCTTCCGTAACATATTCACCGTAAAATTACATAATATATCCATAATAACCATATATAAATAATTATTAAAAATTTGAGTTGTTATACATAACTTTCCAAGCAGAGTAATCATGGTTGCTTTTTTGGCCACACATCCAATGTTCTTACTTCTAAATTCTAATCAAATTATTTTTCAAACATGTTTGTTGTGGCAGCTAGGCCTTTACGAACATATATATTCCTTTTGATAACTCTATTGCAATTGGATTTTTGATGTACAAGCCCCTATACATTCCTTCAAAATACATGTATATCCTTTTGGAGTTGAGTATTCAATTAACTTTGTACCAAAAAAAATATATTCAATTATTCATAAAAGAAACTTAGAAGCATAAAATATAAACGGCTATTTAAATATTTTATTAAATTGGAACTTCAAGTTATAGAAATGATTACTAATTAACTTACTTCGTAAATAAGAGAAACACTTGAATTTGAGGATGAAGTTATTTACTGTTGCAAAAGAAACATTAATTCTTAAAATAAACTAAAAAATGAGAGAAATTTTACAAGTCATAAATTTTACTCTTAATTTTTTTAATATACCAAGCGTCATAATTTTCATAAATTTTTTTTTTGCTTGAAATCTCCATCCTTTTATTTACTTATTTTCTCTCCTCGTAATTTTCATTGTTCGTGTCTTTTTCTCTCTTAAAGTGATATAATTATATATATTTTAGAAAGACAAATACTAAACCCTTTTAGTTTAACCACGTTGAGGTAAAGTATAATTCAGAAAATAAGTCATTTTTTATTGTTTTTCTTAATTAAAGATCCAAACTTAGAGGAAAATAATATTATTTGTTATTGGAATAACCTGAATAATAATAAAAAAAATTCCTCAATATATAATATTATTACCATTGCAAGAAATCAGATAAGTCGTCATCAACCATTTATCGGTTTTCATTCTTCACAAACAAACCCTAACACTATTGGTAGCTGCGACTGCGAACACAATGTTAACGTCGATGTCGATGTCGATGTCGATGTCAAGGTTAAGGTATGCTGTTTCGATCCTAAGGTTCCCTTCAACCTCAATGAGACTATACTCTAATTCTCATTCTCAATCGCCGTTCATTCTGAAACAAGATTTTAGGCTCATTTGCGAAGATGAAGCATTACAACACAGCTATTTCCCTTTCCAAACAGATGGAATTCACGGAATTTACCCATACTCGCATACCCCCATACCCGCTACGCTCAAGCTTTCATTTTTGACTGGTCTTCTGTTTCTTGCCCCTAGAAACAGCATGGACAGATGCATACGGCATGAGAAACGTGGGATTGGATATGCCCCTTAATTAAGGGGATGATGGTGGCAGTGGCGGTGGTGCTTGTGCGCTAGGATCCTGCTGGTCGGAGGAGGGTGGTAGTGTTGGGGAGGGGGGGCTGTGAAATTCTATTCTGTTTTCAGTTGTACAAGTTAGTTATGGGACCTTGATCAATGGGTTACGTAAAATAAGAGAAATAAAAGCAGCCTCCAATTGTTAAGAAAGATTGAAGGACAATTGATTAAGCCTGATGTAGTAATGTACAACACAATCATTGATAGGTCTATGCAAAGATAAGCTTGTAAGTTATGCATGTGATTTATATTATGAAATGGTTGTCAAGAAAATTCCTCCTGATGTTGTCACTTACAATACTCTAATCTATGGCTTTTGCATTATGCTATTGGAAAAAAATCAAACCAGATGCTTATACCTTTACTATACTTGTTGATGCCTTATGTAAGGAAGGAAAGGTTAAAGAGGCTACAAATATGTTAGCTGCGATGATAAAAGGAGGTGTAAGACCTAATGTTGTTACTTATAATACATTAATGGATGGGTATTGGTTACTTAATGAAGTAAACCATGCGAAATATGTATTCAACACTATGGGGGCAAAAGGGAGTGACTCCTGATGTTCGGAGCTATAATATCATGGTTAGTGGATTATGTAAGAGTGAAATGGTGGATGAAGCCATGAATCTCTTTAGAAAAATGCATTGCAAGAATATGATTCCTGATATGGTAACTTACAACTCTCTTGTTGATGGCTTATGCAAATAAAGGAGAATCTTTTATGTTTGGGATCTTATTGATGAGATGCATGATAGAGGTCAACCACCTGATGTAATCACTTGCAATTCCTTATTAGACTCTTTATGCAAAAACCATCATCTTGACAAGGCGTTTGCATTGCTGACCAAAATTAAAGATCAGGGAATTCTGCCAAATGTGTCAACATTCAATATATTTATTGATGGACTATGCAAAGGTGGAAGACTTAAGAATGCAAAAGAGGTTTTTGAGGATCTTTCGATTAAAGGCTATCATCTAGATGTCTGGACGTATACTATTATGATCAATGGTCTTTGTACAGAGGGCTTGTTTGGTGAAGCATTGGCCTTGCTAGCAAAAATGGAAGAGACAATGATTGCATGCCTAATTCTGTGACTTTTGAAACAATTATTTGTGCTCTCTTTGAAAAAGCTGAGAATGATAAAGCAGAGAAACTTCTTCATGAAATGATTGCTAGAGGCCTTATGTAATAGTAAAACTAGGTGAGATGCTTTCTAGTTGTACATTACATTATTTTTAATTTTGATGATGTCAAACCAACCTTCATTTGTTTTGGTAGTTTCACATAAAAAAGAAGATGGACTATGCTATGGACTCAATATCACTTTTGTTTTGAGTATAAGACATGTTTTTAGTTTCATCTTGATATTGTAATGATGACAATGGTCATTTTGTCGGAGTCTTGACATAACTATGCTTTTCTCCCCATTGTACAGGCCATCTGCTTCGTTTACTTTTAAAGATAGTCTTGTCACTGTCCATTGTTATTGTTTCAGATAACCAACCTAGCTGAAACTGATATGATTATTTGGAATTCTTTATCCTTTTTAGTTGACTTTTTTTTTTGGGTGCATTGGTTGACTCTATTTACCCCAAATTATGGATGGTAGAGCTGGATTTTTTATTTTTATTTTTTTTGGCTGTAATTTTCTTGTGATATTTTTACAGAGAGCAAAGATTTAAATACACAAGCATATTTTGGTTGCATTGTTTGAGTTGTCTTAGGTGTTGAAGTTCCCGCCATTTTCCTGAGGTCTTTGCTGCACAATTAATTGGAGCTTTTCTATTGTTGAATTTGTTTGAATGATTAGTACAGGAGTTGAGTTATGCAATGACCTCACTGCTACTTAAGTTTAGATTAACTCTTGTCTTTTTCATTGATTTTGGCCTGTGTTGTTGATTGACTTTTTGAGTGTTGATATGGCTTTCATCCTGTCTACCTTTGGTAATCCCAATCTGCCTTGCTCTTGGGATCTTCCCAGTTTTTTCTCAATGCTCACGGGGTTAGTGCTTAAGATGTATTTGTAGTTGCTGAAAGTTTGAGAACTTGGTTTGTGTCATGTGAGAAGATATATTGTCCCTTTGATCATAGCGTGCAGGAACAGGGTGGATTGTTACACATGATTTTATCTTTGCCCCACTGTGTTTCTTATCCTGAACCTTACAAAGTCTTGTCAAAATCCGTCTTTTTATGTTTGCATAATACTTTCTGCTGTTGAGTTTACAGCTAGAAAAATGGTGAAACACATTCTATTTCACCATGAGAGCTGGCATAGATAATAGGCTAAACTGTTCATTGACGTGATTGTTGCACAATGAAGTGTGGTTTCTCGAAAATCGGTGGCAATTTACCGGCATGAACCTCAGAATTGCTATTACTTTATATGAAGTGCTTCTTTTGCTATTAAGTGGTACCTAGATTGATCATGATTTCTCTCGCATCATGGTTTCCATATGCATCCTTCGTAATTGTATTCTTCATGTTGTCCTTTGATGCCATTATCATTACCTGTTGTTTCCTGTTTTTTTTTTTTTTTTATATGGTGCGCGCTTGTATTTTTAGTAAAAGGTATGGCATATGCAGCAAACGAGTTCCCTTATGTTTGGAACCTGAAGCTAAATAAAGCTGAAAAAAAGTTCACAAGGCTCAATCCTGCTCTGTATATCAAGAATAATACTACATAACACATTAAATTTGCTTTTAGAACTGTATATGATCATATTAAAACACACATACAATCAAATAACATGCGTATCCCTAATTGTTGTGTATGTAGCATTTCTAAAGACGAAGCAGTTAGCACCACATTAATGAGAAGATTGATTAAGAAACATGGGCAGATAGAGACTGCATCTACGAAAAAATATTTGTTAAAGCCAAGGCCAAAATCATGAACCCCCCCAATGAAAAAGCCTGATAGCCTTTTTTTGATCAGTTTGACCGTCTCCATATATGCTCGTTATAATCATTGGTTGCTTGTTCTTTAGGGCATTTAGTATTGCACTTCATGCACGCCGTGTTTCTATTGAAATTGTAGAAATCACACCTACAAGAAGCATATACATGAAACAAGAAACTTTTAGCATGCAAGGAGATAGGAAGGGGCGAGGGGAAGAAAAACAATGGACTCACTTGGGACAACTCCAATCCCCAGGATGTTTCTTGGGCCTCTGCTCAGGACAACGTAAACACTTCAAATTTCTAGCATAATTAATGAACCCGCACCTACATACACAGTGAAATTCATGAAACTGTAACTAACTGTTAACAATGTGTGAAATTTATCAATGTTTTAGGTTTAGCAAGAGTAATCAAAATTTTAATTATTGACATAAAATTGATTCATCTGCTATCATAGGGAACAGAAACTAAAAATATTTCAATGGGAATTTCCTTGTCAGTAAAAATAGGAGGCTTACTGCTTGCAAGTCCAATCTCCTTTTTTTATTTCAACTTCCCCTGTACTGCCACGCTTTGACGGCCCCTCTGTTTTGCATTTTAGACACCGTGTGTTTCTGGAAAAATTTAAGAAACTGCATCTGTGGCAAAAACAAAGAGCAATTGTCATCAGACCAAAAGACACTAAATACAGGATAATTGAACACAAGTATTTGATCGGCATGAATGTTGACAACATAGGAAAAGAAGAGGAAAAATCTTATGAGTGGTCCATCTTTAAGATACATGTCAGATTGACATGCATATGATTTCATAGAAGATGCCAAGAGGCACTTCATATGATTTCATTGTTTTTAACTGACATTATCAGACTTTAGAAGGGAAGCTGACGACCACACATAGAACTTGACTATGCCTTGGGAGAAATGCTAGTAGGCAACTACAGGACTTACTCAGGACAGTTCCAATCTCCTTGCTTCATTTCAACAGCAAGCAAGTCAATATCCTTTGGCCTATCTTCATTACATTCTAGGCAATGCATATTCCTAGAAAAGTTCATAAAATTGCATCTGCAGGAAATTTGGGGAAAAAAAGAGAGAAGAGAACCAATTCTTAGAAATGAATTATTCAATTGCAAACATCTAATTTATGATGTTAAAAGACATACAACATTTCCAATAACACGAATTGTGGAAAGTTAAATCATCAATATTCATGATAAGGAAGAAGTGTATTATTGGCACAAGGGATTTAAAGCAAATCCACTCTCTCACCAGCCAAAAATACTTGTGAATGAATACTATCACTAAAAACTATCACACAGGAAATAAACTTGTATCAATGACAAAAGGTAAAGAAGACAAATCCACCTATCCAATGGCCAAAAATACTTCTCAATGAATACTATCACTAAAGACTATCACACAAAAAATAAATGTTATTACACAGGAACAAAAACTAATAATTCTCACTGCACATTTTAAGAGAGTTTTATATCTATAATGTCTAGTTGCTATTATCTTAGTAAAACTTCAGCCCTACACCATAAGATAGCAATAAAATGCACAGAATAAATTACACTGAAGCAATAATAGAGAATATAAAGAGCTTAAACATACAATCAAATCTTTAATATACTAGAATGTTTACATAACATGAGATTAAGTGCCTTCCAGCGGTTGCCCAATATGATCATATGGATCAGTTTGGTGGAAGAGAACTTATGAAACTGAAGTTTTAAGGTATCATATTATTAATGCAAAGAAAGCCAATGTCAGTCATTAGGCCAAATTCAGCTGTCCAACAGAGTGCAAATAATCCGTTGAAAGAATTCAGGACACAAAACAGATAGCAAGCTGAATGGTATTTTAAAACAAATGTTGCAGGGAATCAATTGATGATGGATTTACCTGTTTAATTTCTGAAGTAAAATGGCTGATGAACGGAGAAATATTACTTCTCCATATTAACAAAGCCTTCCAGATTTTATGAACATGCAGAAAATCAAATTTAACATGCAGAAATTGCTACACAAGCTAAGTATAGATCTCCATGAGCTAATATAACTCACTTTGGACACATCCAGTCACCCTTCTTCATCTCAACATCTTTAGACAACTTATTAGTCATAAATCTTAGAGGTTGGCCTTTTGCCACAGAATCCTGTGCAGTGAGCTTTGAATGAGCGGGAGCAGGAGGTGGAGCTGGGTACGACTCACTCAACTCAATCAGCTGAGAGAGAAGTTTTCTTGCAGATGATTCAATAACTTCTCTGCCCGGTGGTTTCTCTCCTCCAGAAAGAACAAGTGGATCTAGTGCATAGAACAAAAGTATCCGTACTATATCCACAGTCCGAGCATCAGCTTCAAATTCTTTTAAAATCACGTAAGCTCTATCACAGGAGCCTCGCAGATTGCAAGCACTACAAACCTGCCTTGCCAGATGATAGGAAATCAAAATGGCTCCTCAAATTCAAGTAGAAAAAACAAATAAATAAATATCATAGACTAATAAAAGCATTGAACATCTTGCTTAACTAGAAAAATGCTTTTAACACGCTCTTTATTATTAGGTAAAATTCCATACTAACCCCACCAATTAAACTTTATTAGTTAGGCTAGCATGAAATTTCGCCTAATAAACAGTGTGTTAAAGCTTTTATATGGGTTCATCAACTACCATCCCCAACTATTTTGGTATAAAGGAGATATTGATATTGATGTTAAAAAACAGTGCTTTGAAAAAAAAGAATGTAAAAGAGTGTGTTGCTAGTATTTGTCTTATCAACTATTACTCCCAAGTAGCAACCAAACCATTCCTCATTAAATCCCAACTAGCAAGGACAAGGGTGAGAGCAATCCTTTTGAGCAGCCTTACCTTTACGTATTTGCGAAAAACCTGTTTTTCGCATTTGAACCTGTGACTTTCCAGTCACAAAGGAGTAATTTTATCCCTACTCTAGACTCGCTCTTTATTTTTGCAAGTAGCAACCAAAAACGTAGGAAAAATAAATGCTTCGGAAAAATGAACTAACATACATACATCCCCTTCATCCAATCGCAGGTGGGCTCTCAACCTTTTAGCCGAGTTAACAGGTTTACGAAGAACATTAGGACATCCTCCCTCAACAATTGATTGGATATCTTTCAATGCCAGCAATCTACATAACATTACAAGCAACAAAAGTCAAATTAATTCTAATAAGGAACATATAAATCTCATCTAGATCCTAGTTTTGTAAAAAAATTTCCACCAGTTCATCAATGAATCGTGTGGAGGTAAAAGGACCACAAGAATGACAAAACTTTACCTACCAAATTTTTTAATATAGCTGAATTCAAGACCACTAATTACTCTGAACTTGAATTCAAGATGACTGATTAAGCTGGAACAAACTTATGTCACTTGCAATTGGTGGTTAGACCCTTCTCATCATGCATCCTTAATAATAATAATAATATAAAAATAATAGCTTTTCCTTCATCGACATTCACCAAACACACCAAGCAAACTATATTAGTGACCAATTCGACCCAGGTAGGAAATCATGTCTCCAGTGGTCAATTCGATTTAAAAAACAAGTCTTTTTTCACACTCAAAATCAGGTAAGTAATATTAAATCAAAATTATAAGAGAGAGAGAGAGAGAACGCACTTGAAAAGATCGTAGCGGTCACGGGAGAAGCTGAGACAAGCATCTTTCAAGAGGTAGATGTTTATGTAAACACTCTCATCGTTATTTGAAGAAGAGCGTTTTGTGAGATAGCCTTTGGTCTTCAAGCGGTCAACGAAAGAGACCCATTCGGGCCAGGGATGGTGCTGGTCGACGGAGAATACGGTTTCTTCATCGGCGGCGGCGGAGGAGGAGGAAGCGCGGCGGTGGAAGAGCGGTGGCGCGAAGGGTATAGGTTTGAAGAATAGAAATGGAGAGTTGACAGTTGAAGTTGCAGTTCGACGGTTACGGAACAGTGCGGTTCCGATTCCGTACAGTGCGAGCTTTGAAGCTGACATTTTTTTCTTCTTCTTCTTTCTTTCAAATGCTACCTCAGAGGTTTATCCTCGCAGCTCAACAACTCCAAGGGTTTTGAGATATTCTTCAAAACCTTTTTTTTTTTTCAAGAAAATAAAATAAAAAAATATGGTTGCGCACGTGAGGCCCAATGGGGCCTCCATTATCAAAATATCTTTGGTATTACATATGTACTAAAAGCTCCGTGTATTTTTTATTTTGTGACATATGTCTTATTTTATATTAAATAATTTTTTTTCTTAATTTTAAAATAAATTATTTATTATTAATTTAATAAAAAAACACGTGTCACGATATAAGTGAAAGATACACTGAATGTACGGTCCATCTGTACATTCTCAATCTCCCTTTGGGAGTATGGAGCCAGCGTTGGTATCGGCAGCTGCCTGATAGGGGCACCACTCCCGTGCAGTGGGAGTTCCGAAACAAGCAGTACTTGTCTCGGATAATCCCAGTTGGAGTCAAATCTATGAAAAATCTGCTTTGTTTAGATCAGAAAAATCGTACGTTTTTATGAAATCATGTGCTATTACTCGAATCCGTAGTCAATCCTAGCACCAAAGAAATTTTCCTACATTACAATACTAAGTGAGTGGAACACGAACAACTACAAAAAACGTGTAAAGCTTACTGTCACTGTTATTTAATTACAAATCATAGGCATATATATTTCTATTCTGGTCATGATGCAACAATTTCAATATTTACTTGTAGTATGTGGCGATCTTGTCGCTCAAATTCATCAGAGCTTTGTCATAAATTACATCTTGATTTTAAAAAAAAAATATTACTCTTTTTTTTTTGTAGTTACCCAATCCTAATTACCTCTTTGAGGCGAGTTGGCTCCCTCCGGTATCCCCACGAGCTTCGACTCTTTGAGCCGGCTATGAGACTAATCCGGAGTGTGGGAGAGCAGTGATGGCTAAAGGTTCAGCCCCCTCCCCAAGAATGCATTCAGCAGGAATCGAACACATGTCCAACAACTCAGCGCCAAGTTACCAACTGAGCTACACTGGGTAAAAAAATTATTACTCTTATTCCTCGTATTATCTACTATTGTGTTGTTTTAGTGTAAATTTTAAAATTTTCTTCTCTGTCACGAATTTTTTTTTTGACTCTATCAGTTATTACATTTACGTGGATAGAGGTAATCACTTGGAAATAACTTTTGTCTATTAGTATTTTTCATGTTGTAAGAGATAATTTTATCTCTTATATATATAAAAGTGTATGAGATCTATATTTTTTTTCTTCTCTTCGTATGACTCCATATGGGCCCTACACGCTTCTTTTTTATTTTGGTATAATCTGGAGGTATCCTAATTCAATCTCCTCCGGTCACCTTGTCCTTGGAGTACGGCTCTAAAGGCTACCCCTCATTGGAACAACGAGTGCATTGAGCTTCGCTACCAGAGGAAGGATGAGACTAATCCTACATTCGAGGAGGGAGGCACATCCTCTAGCTCCTAAAGATTTTTCAAGAATTTGCTTGAGGTAGGATTTGAACCTACTCCAGCAAACCCTTAGTTGCCAACTAAAATACCCTTGAGAGTTTGGGCCCTACACACTTTAATATGTGTGTAAGAGATAAAATTAATATTAATCCCAATTCCCAACTATTATTTGCAAGGAACTAGAGTGATTGTTTGGTCACTTTTCATAATAATTGCCCCCTTATTAAGATGGTGATTGCTTCATTTATGCATTCACAATTTATTTAATTTGAAATATATGACAAATTCTCTTCACATGACCCGACATGTGCCCTACACACTTTAATATATATGTAAGAGATAAAATTAATATTAATTTCAACTGTTATTTGCAAGGAACTAGAGTGTTTGTTTGGTCACTTTTCACAATAATTGCCCCTTTATTAAGATTAAGATGGTGATTGCTTTATTTATGCATTCACAATTTAACTTGAAATATGGGAAGAATATTTCTTTGGTCACAATGGAGATAAAATTATCTTCAGAGAATTCAAAATGATGTTATTTCGGGTTGTAAAATTAAAAAGTTATAATGATAAAGACTAATATAACTCTGCAATAAATTAGAATTACAAAATTACTTTGATCTCCGCCAGAAAACAACATCATTTCGAGATTACCAGAGATAATTTATCTCCATTGACTCGGAGAAATCTTTACCCTTGAAATATATGACAAATTCTCTTTTACTTTTTTTTTTTTTTAAATATTTATTTACAATAAGTTGTTTAGATGATTTTTTTTTTTGGATAATCCATGTGTATACTTTACGGGAGACAATCTTATTCGGGACGATATATGATTAATACTTTAAATCTCTTTTATATGATATTGGAAATGATCGAACATATGTAAAGAACCAATTCAACTCAAAAGCTTAAATTGTTGGGTGTCTCCAATACACCCTCTTACATGAAAGTAGGATAGACAATGTCCAGGTCCGTCAACCTGTGCTAAGAAACTCAATAAGACTTAATTATTTATTAATTAAATAGGAGGACGACGAGGATCGAACCCGTAACAATCAGCTTTGATATCATATACAAAATCAATTCAACCAAAAAACTTAAATTATTGGGTGAGACTACATTAACGATTAATATAACTCTAACACGCCTCTCATACGAGAGCCTATTAAATTTGAAGAATAGATAATACATCAGGCTCAACTCAGACTTAATTAATTATTAATTAAATTGAATAAAGCAATTTTAATCAAAATATGTGTGTATGAAAAATTCTGAGTCCACGTGAGGCGTTAACGACCATCAAGGAGAAAAAGCTAAAACCCTTTCGATTTGCGACACCGACATAAAACCCTTCTACTTAGTTCTAACGATCACAGACAGAGATCTGTTTCTGAATCTGAAAACGCTATTATGAGAAGGGTTTCATCCTCTCTTCTCTGTAGAACCCTCGCCGCCGCTCGCGGCGGTTCTCCGGCCGCCTCATTCGCCCTCCCTAACCGTTTACTCCCGGCCGCTCTTTACGGCAGCTCCACCGGCGGTACCCGCGCTCACCGCCGATGGTTCTCGTCTCTCCTCGCTCCATTCACCGGCGCCTCTCTCGGCGTCGCCGGGGCTCTGGTCGCCGCCGCTTCTGTCCAGGAAGTCTTCGCCAAGGAGCCGCCGCCGCCTGAGGCTCTCCCCAACGAGGTTGTTCTCTACCAGTACGAGGCTTGCCCTTTCTGCAATAAAGTCAAAGGTGAAACTTTTCTTCCTTGTGTTTTGGTGTTTTTAGGATTGGAATTGTATGGTGTTGCGTTCAGATGCAAATGTTGATTTACATAGTTTGCTTTGAATTGCAATCGATAGTTGTCTCTTTGTTGAAATTTCAATTCTTTATCACATGTCTTTGATTCGAAATTATGAAAACGTAATTTGTTTCGGGGGAAATCTCTTTCTTCTTTCGACGTAGACAAGTTATCTTATATTAGCGAAAAAATAATAATAAAAAGGACCCACAGATGATTGGAAAGAAAAAATAAAATAAAAGTGGGATCCACCTTGGTTATTTTGTTATGTGTGTAGGAAAATGTGTTATCTCACGTTGAATGAGATAAATATAACCCTTTGTTTTGTTTTATATATATATATGAATCTTATATTTATAATCTCTCTTCGCTTATCATGCAACCAAATCTTAATTTCCACCAATCGGTTATATTAATAATTAATTTATAGATGTGATCAATAAATTGGATGGGCTGAAATCAGTTAAGATTTAGTGGTAAGACGTTGTAAATATAACTTCCATCATACACGAGGAGAGTTATATTTACAAATTAAATTGTTTACAAACTCTTACAATAAAATTTTAACTGTTTATTTTCGTCAATTTAACGGTTATAATTTATTGGGTCACATTTATCAATTAATTATTAATTCCCAATAAATTATAACTATTAAATTGACGAAAATCAACGGTTAAGATTTAATTATAACAGTTTGTAAGTAATGTAGTTTGTAAATATAACCCTAGTGTTTGGACAGCCCCCAAGCAAGGGTGGGTTAAGTTGAATTGTGATGGAGCTTCTTCTAGTGGCATGAAAAAAGCTAGTTGTGGTGGTATATTAAGAGATCACAATGGATCCTTTTTGGGAAGCTTCTATTGTAATTTAGGTTCATGCAATCCTCTTGATGCTGAATTATGGGGATTACTGAAAGGTTTGGAAATGTTTTGGGGAACAGGATTAAAAAGAATAGAGCTAGAATGTGATTCTAGCCAAGCCATCAAGATGTTAAAGGAGCAGCATGAAGATCCTAGGGACTCTCAAGTCACTAGCAGATTGAGATTATGGTTAAAAGTAGATTGGACTATTCATCTTGTTCATACCAAGAGAGAAAACAACAAATGTGCTCATTGGTTAGCTAAAGCTGGGCAGACTAATAATCTCCATTTCAAGATTTTTAAAGATCCTCCTCCTCAGTTGATGGAACTTATAGTTGCTGATGCTAGAAATATGTCTAGCTTGTTAGTTTCTGATTTGTAATTTCTTTCTGTTCCTGGGGCTTAGCCCCTCTTTATTTACAAAGATAAAAAATAAAAAAATATAACCCTTCTATATATATATATATATATATGAGGATAAATTTATGTGGTGTATTTAACCTTGGCCCATTAATTCTATTTATATTTAATGACTCTAATTTATTAGATATGTGAGTCATTCGATGCAAGTAAATCAATGGTCAAGATTTGGTATAACACTATTATTATTACACTGATGTAAAAATAGCATGACCAATATATATATATATATATATATATATATATATATATATATATATATATATATATATAGGTAAAATCATTTCTGCAGCCGCTTTACGTACAACAACGACAGGTGTATGGTTATGATTCCTCACATTTAATGCTTTCATCTTTTGTATGGTTATGATTCCCTGCATTTAATGCTTTCACGTATATATATGACAAGTATTTGATTGCTGCACGTACAGCAACTGCAAAAATGTAAACCCCACACACACATATATATATATCTGGCTTTAATGTTTCTAAATTGAATGTATATAAATTATCTATATTCGCTTTCAAAACGACGTCGTTTTGGGTTAAAAAATTAAAAAAATATAATTAAAAAGACTATTATAACCCTAAAATAAATTATAATTACAAAAATACCTTGATTTCCGCCTCAAAACGATGTCGTTTTGGGCTCAATGTAGCAAAGTTATCAAATGCGGATTGCGGCCACTCCCAAAAAACGCTATAGCGCTATAACGGGTTGCGGTTGCGAAAATAGTTGAATAAATATGACATAAATTATGACAAAAAGAAATTTTTTTTAAAGGCAGAGATTGCAAAAGTGACAGAGAATGACACAGATAGACTAAAAAACTCTTAAAAATTTTCTGTTACACATTTAAATTTAGTACAAAATTGACATTTTGCCTTATGGCTGCGATTTGGCCGCAAATGCGATAGCAATGGCTGCAATTACTTTCCGGTGCGGCAAGACGCGGTTTCTTGAGGCGAGGCACCGCAACACCCATACTATGCGGCTTGCGGCGCTATTGCGGCGCAATTAACTACTATGCAATGTAGATAAGTTATCTACATTGACTGTAGAAAAAGCGAACCCTATATATATATATATATATATATATATATATATATATATATATATATAAGGTTTCTTTTTTCTGCCGTCAATGTAAATAAGTTATCTGCATTGCGCCTAAAACGACGTCGTTTTGGAGCAGAAATTGAAGGTGTTTTTGTAATTGTAATTTATTTTAGGGTTACAATAGTCTTTCTCATTATAATTTTTTAATCTTTCAACCCAAAACAACGTCGTTTTGGTAATGAATGTTATCTACATTCACTATAGAAATATTAAAGCTTTATTTTTTTTATAAACAAAAGGGGATTAGACCCCAGCAAGCAAAAACTAAAGAAAACAAACTAACAAGGAAGAGTAACTAAACGTTCTCTCCCTACAGACGCAAGGTCCGCCATAAATAACAAAAAAATTCCACCTGGAGGTTCCTCAAAGAAAATTTGATCAACCTGCTCCGCGCTGTTTAACAAGTAATTTTCCAGCCAATCTGCACACATATTCCCTTCCCTAAAAGTATGTTGAATTTGAACTTCCCATTCCTTTCCAATCCACGTTCCTATACGAGATAGCAAGCGCTCCTCACGAACTATTGCACCCTGTTTGGTGAGCCCAGTGATTGCTGTAAGCAAATCACTTTCTAGAATGACCCTTCTGTAGCCAGCATTCAAAGCCACCTCAAGCCCATGAAGTATACTCCAAAGTTTCTGTTGAGATATATAGTCCCACATTGGTTGTATGTGCAACTAATGTGGCCTTTATAAGGCCTTGGGCACTCCCACCCTTTGAGCTAGCTTTTGGGGTGGTGTATCCCAAGGTTCTTTACATGGTATCAGAGCCTCGCCGCCCCCCACTTTCTCTTGTGGCGTTTATTAGCACAGGTAGGTTGGGCCTGTTGCATTGTCCACTCTTCAAGCTCAATGGGCTCTTGTGTGAGGGGCGTGTTGAGATATATAGTCCCACATTGGTTGTATGTGCAACTAATGTGGCCTTTATAAGGCCTTGGGCACTCCCACCCTTTGAGCTAGCTTTTGGGGTGGTGTATCCCAAGGTTCTTTACCGTTTCTGTTATATTTTGGCTGTTGATTAGCTTATATCTAATAGCTCTAATCTATTAGCTTTAATTTATCAGTTATATTAGTCATTAAATACAAGGGGATCGACCCCAGAAAAGGGGAAAATTCCTATTCCTATATATACATACAATGAGATAGAGGGGCTTGAGAGGTGCTAATCTCAACTATATTATTATTAGTTCTTCTAACATTGTCACACTCTCACTGCTATTATATATATGTAAAAGAAAGTTTTTTTTTTTCTATTATTATTTTGAAATGAAAGCCAAAGGTCACCTGTGCTCAGTCCATTGGAAACTTATTTTGTTATATGAAAATTTTAAATGGAAGTGATGAGTCTGAGAAATAGATAGAAGACGGAAAAAATGGAATTTTGTTAGTCAATTAAAACTTTTAAATGACTTTATATTCCTCCCCGATTGTTTTATCTCACTTATAATGGTGAACTTGTGCTAGGATGTTGGTGGTTATTCTGCTCTACTTCTTTCTTTTTTATTACTGTAGTTTTTCCATGGAGCTTTCACAGCATTTTCCTAGTTTCTGCTGCTGATGTTTTTATTGCTTTACCAGCGTTTTTGGACTACCACAATATACCTTACAAAGTTGTGGAGGTCAACCCACTCAGTAAGAAAGAAATAAAATGGTCCGAGTATAAGAAGGTGCCAATATTGATGGTAGATGGCGAGCAGCTAAATGACTCATCAGGTTTTTGGCAAATTTCGTGTGAAAATTGATTGTGACTTATTCTCATGTACTTACTATGCCCTTGAATGAGCCACACTGTAATATTTCACTAATGTTTTTTTTTTTTTTTTTGGCAGCTATTATTGACAAGCTGGGACAGAAGATTTTGTCAAAGAAAAAGACAGATTCAACTTCTGAGGATGACGAAGAGACAAAATGGCGGCGGTATGGTTTTCTTTCTCTTGATCCTGTTTTATTTTTCAATCAAGCATGTCTGTAATAAATATAATTGGGTGAAAGTGGCAGCAATCTTTTTCAGCAGTTTGAATTTTGAATGTATGTCATTTTTTCAACTTTAGGAAGTTGTTTGCATACTTTCATCTGAACCAACTACAGAAGAGATGGTTTGTTTAATTGGAAGATAAAGCTTTCTTTCTTGCTCTGCTTTTTGTTCTTTCTTTCTTTTACCCATATGCTTTAGGATTGAAGAAAATATATTCGGTAACGATTTTATAACATTCCACTTCTTTCGCGATGTGCTACTGTGCTAACAAGCTTACGTATCACTGGGCATTTATTATGTGATTGTGAAAACAAGTTGTTGCTTTCTTTCTATGTGGCAGTTTGATTTCAGTCATTCTTTATTACATGTAACTTGTTCAGAAGATTATGTCTATGCATGATTATTATTTACTAAATGTTGAGATATATAAAACCATTAATGTAGCTTCACCCAATAGCTTAAGCTTTTGGGTTGAATTAGTTCTTTACATGGTATCAAAGCCTCGGTGTACCGGGTTCGATCCTCGCCGCCCCCCACTTTCTTTCAAGTGGAATTTCTTTGTTCGCACAGGTAGGTGGGCTTGTGCATTGTCCACCCTTCAAGCCCAGTGGGCTCTCGTGTGAGGGGGCGTGTTGAGATATATAAAACCATTAATGTAGCCTCACCCAATAACTTAAGTTTTTGGGTTGAATTAGTTCTTTACACTAAATCTCTTCATGGGTCAGATTTCAGTCAACCTTCCAATCTTTCAATTGTTTACTTATGACTCCCTTGATTTGTATTCTTGGTTCAATATGAATATCCTAACCAGGGGTGGCACTATGTTTATGTAAGGGTGGCCTTGGCAAACCTTCCCACGCCCCCCAAAATAAAATAGAATTATGACATACTTTTCAATGTAAATAGAATTATGACAACAGTAAGGCCTGTAATGTTATATGGAGCTGAATGTTGGCCAACACATAGGTAACATGAGCGTAAAATGGGAGTAGCTAAAATGAGGATGTTAAAGTGGATGTGTGGTTTTACGAGGTTGGATAAGATAAGAAATGAAGATATTCGACGAAAGGTGAGAGTAGTATCGATGGCGTAAAAGATGAGAGAACATAGATTGAGGTGGTTTTGGCACGTAATAAGAAGGCCCTTGGATGCTCTCGTAAGAACAAATGTTTGTTACCAAGAGCTTGACATAAAGAGAGGTAGAGGTAGACTGAAACTTATTTGGGGGAAGGTAGTAAAACAAGACTTAATGGAGTGAGATTTAGATTGGCGGACGAAGTGTTTTAGGACGAAATGGAGAAAAGCTATAAGCATGGTGGAGGGTTAGACCCATTTTTATTCCTATGTTCGAGACAGTCCCTTTTTAATCATTTTCCTCTTTATCCCCCCCCCCTTTTTCTCTTTCTTCTTCCTTCTTCTCTTTATTCCACTTTTCCTTTCAATCTTTTTCTCCTACCTATTTATTTATGTGTTTTTCTTTTCCTTTTTCCCTATATCCCTTTTTATGTTATTTTATTTATTTATTTATCTATTTATTTTTTAATTAATTAATTTTATTTCTTACTTTCTTATTCTCTTCTATCCTTTTTATATTCTTATTTGTATTTTATATTAATTTATTTTTCCTTGTAATTGTGTACTGCTTTTCTATATGAGATAAGATATTGTGACACACAAATAATGTTACGCACAATGTTACGACCACATTTTAACCGTTGATTTCCGCCAATCAACGGTTATCATTTATTGCGAATTAATAATTAATTAATGAGTTTGATTTGAAAAATGATAACCGTTGATTGGCGGAAATCAACGGTTAAGATGTGGTCGTAACATTGTGCGTAACAGTATTTGTGTGTCACAATATCCTATCCCATATATATATATATAGTTTTTTTTTACAATCTTTTCATACCATTTTTTGGGTTCATCTACCACCGACTCCAACTAGTTTGGGATAAAGGTGTTCTTGATGTATTTATTTCTTCTCTTCACCATTAAATATTTTACATTGGCCCCCCTTTATTCTTTTGTTGTTGCTCCACCTGTGATCACAATAAATGCCATTCATTTGAGTTGTTAGACTTATATAAAATCATTTATGTAGTCTCACCCAACAGCTTAAGCTTTTGGGTTGAATTGATTCTTTACATGGTATGAGAGCCTCATGTCACGGGTTCGATTCTCACCGCCCCCATTTAATTAATAATTAATTCAGTATTGTGGACTTTCTTAGCTTAGGTAGATGGATTTGTGCATTGTCCACCCTTCAAGCCCAATGGGTTCTCGTGTGAGGGTGTGTGTTAAAGTTATATAAAACCATTAATGTAACCTCACCCAACAACATAACTTTTTGGATTGAATTGGTTCTTTACATGAGTAAGAGAGGTTGTCTGTAGAATGTAGACATTAGTACCTGTCAATTTGTGTCTATGAGCACTTCTTTTCAGTATGATGCTCAATCTAGAATCCAATGCTTATACTTAAATTTGTATTCCCAAACAATTCGACCCTTTGCTTGGATTGCATGATACAGTAATATGGGCAGCCTGAGTTGCTTTTGGTAAATTGAACCTGTTGTTAGAAACTCAGACATAAATGTCTGAGGAAATTGATTGAATCTTATTTTAGCTTAGCATAAGTTAGCAAGTAATATATCTACCAGGCTAATCAATTTTACTCTTCTGATATAGGTGGGTTGATAATCATTTGGTACATGTTCTGTCACCTAACATATATCGGAATACTTCGGAAGCACTTGAATCCTTTGACTATATCACAAGCAATGGTGAGTTGTACTGGACTTTGCTATTGTTCTATTATTATTATTATTATTTACATTTAGTTGAGCTTATGTTTTGATTTTTGTTTCTTTCCACTAAGTTTTCTGTTTAATGAAGTTGTCTTTGATATCTCAATAAGCATGAGTTTTGAACAAAGTCTATTCTTGGTAGATAAGATGGACATATTATTTTTGAATGCAATAATCCAATTTCCAGCATGAAGAGAGGCATTTATAAGATATGAACATTTTTTCTATTGATGTCATAAATTTTCTTGGAACTATTGGGCATTTCTTAAGCTTATTTTTTATTTAATATCTTGTGTTTTTCACTTTTAATTTTCATTTTGGAGGTAGGTCATTTTGTTTTTGTCTTTTGTGTGTCCATCTGTTAATTTCCTAAAGTTTGTATTGTTCCCATAAAGTTTGTCTTTTATTGAACAAATATTTTGTCAGATATCTGTTATCCGGCAAAGAAAGAAACTCAAAGTAGAAGAGATATAAAGCACAAAAAATTACATAATTGTGTTTGGGATTTCTTTCCAGATTCTAGAACTATTTATTTATTTGTGAAAGGGTCATCTTTTTACACCTCCATTCATCCTTAGTTTTTACAACTTCAAAAATGCGGGCCTGTCATAGTTATATAATCCTCATGAATTGGGATGCCTTTTTTTGAGTTTCCTCAATGTATTCTCCAACCGACAGCCGAAGACTAATACTTTCGAGGCGTAGAGATCACCGAAGTGGGTTTTGTCTCTACCATCAAAGCCTTTTCCATACACGGTCAGGAATCGAACCTCTATCAGCATGCTTAAGAGACCCAATCATCTACCAACTATGCCGAGCTTTGTTGGTGGATGCCTTTTTTATAATTGAAAATGTGGGCATTGGGAAGGCTCAGAAGATGATGGGTATAGAAAGAGATCTATGTGTGGCAATAAAAGAAACAAGAGACACTTTGGATTTGCATTCCGTTATCTTATGACTTACAGAAGATTTTAGAGGACATAGCATGTAATCTGCTTTTGGTCTGAAAAGAGAGTCTAATAATAGTTTCAGTTTGGGTTTCTCATTCTTGCTAATACCAATGGTTACAAAGTAGATTTTCAAACTTTACTTTTTATCGCTGAGTCGTCAAATTTGATTCTAATAAACATTTCTTACAAAGGATGACTATCACTGGTGCTGCGACACTGAAATGCTCCCACACACACAGAGATTGATTAGCAGCTCTCCCATTTTGACTTATACAACAGTTCTTTGACCAGGAGTTGTCATTTTTTCTCAATGAGAGAATTAACAATTTTCCTATATGTTGTGTCTTTGCTCAATCTATATTAATTCCATGCATGCGCAGCTGAAGCTTTTTTTTCCATCTTCTTTTTCATTATGCACATACAAATACATGCACGCATGGATGGAAATAACATGTCTTCAAATCTCTCTTTGTATATTGTGCTTTTTCTGCTTTCAGCCCGTAATTATCATGCATGCAAATCCTCAATTTGCTTTCTTTGAACTTCTTTATTTAAACTTTTTTCTTTGGCCATGCTCTATTTAAACTTCACAAATGGATAATGTGTGATAATGTATTTCATTTTTATTGACATTTTAGGCAATTTCAGCTTTATGGAAAAAGTCTCGGTGAAGTATGCTGGAGCTGCAGCTATGTATTTTGTGTCTAAGAATCTGAAGAAGAAATATAACATTACTGACGAACGTGCTGCTCTTTATGAGGCAGCAGAAACATGGGTGGATGCTCTGAATGGCCGGGAGTTCCTTGGTATGTACTCCACTGTTGGGTTAAGGAGACTATCATTCACATATAGTGTGTGTATGCTTGTGCACGTTAAACTACAGCTGGATATATCTCAAAATGCTTTAATGATTTAATTTTCTTTTATGGTGATTTTTTGCCTAGTAAAGGAGTAATAAATAAATTATAGCTTCATATATCCTCGGCAGGTCAAAGTATTGATCATGAGTTCTCCATTTATAATACTTCTTAGTTTTTTGTCATTGATGACTCTTCTGAAATTATCTCCACTTGATCTGTTTGATTTGGACCTTATAAGATCACTCATAGTTCAGAACCTACATGGAACCATTTAGGGCATGTTTGATGGACATGATACTGAAGATGGGGGTGGGTTAGGATTTAACAGTGGGATAGGAAACTTTTGCCCCGAAAGTAGCCCTTTGTCTCTTGGAACTTCCTTGAGAATGTGAGAGTCTGTACATATTGGCCAGCCAAATGGAATATCAAGTAGTAGGAAGGACTGACAATTCAGATAGCTAGCTAGCATAAGGCCATGAGAACAATCATGCAACTTGTTGTCACCTTGCATATTTAGTGTGCATTAAACATAAAATAATATATGATTTACCATATCTATGTTATTTCCTACTTTTATCCAACCCTCTTATTGTATTCGTCATATTCTTCGTTAATCGTTATTCTATCTAGTTCACCAAATAAATCCTTAAAAGTAAGAACTAAAAAGTAAACCTTGCATATCTATTTGTTAGTTTAGCTATAATAATTAAGTCTCCAGCGCTTGCTTCAGTTTACTTCAATTTTCTTAGTGTTATTGTGATGAATAATCATTTTGCATTCTTTGGGTATGATACAAGGATTACTTTTCTATCTTTTCAGGAGGGTCTAAGCCTAACTTTGCCGACCTGGCTGTCTTTGGGGTTTTAAGACCCATACGCTATTTGAGGTCTGGCAAGGATATGGTGGAGCACACACGTATTGGTGAGTGGTACACAAGAATGGAGAACGCTGTGGGAGAGTCTTGCAGGATTAAAGCCTAAACTGGGTTCTGTTGAGTCCAGACTGCATACATTTTTTTTGCTTCTATTACTATGCTCTGAGGTTTTGCCTCCACTGGTTGGAAGGGAATACATTTCGGTTTCTCAATGAACATGTTTGGCTCATTAGAAATATACTGCGATTGGTGCTAGTTATAAATATAGGCAAAGTTTTGCTGATCAATCGATTCTTTAGAAAAATGATTCATATATGTTATAACAGCTGTTATGTAGAGTTTGAAGAAATCTTTCAGCTGTATCCAAGAATAAGACAATACCTGCTGTGCCTGTGATATTTAAAACTTTGGGTTATTGAATACATAAAAGAACTTCATTAAGTATGGACTTTGATGTGATCCCTGATCAATTGATTGTAAACAAATCTTGAATAACTAAATTGGTGTAAATTTACATGATCAAAATATGATTGTGATTATCAAAGCTTTGAACCCTGGCTCCTCCCACATCTAGTATGATTTACGATGTCTTAAATATATTTACTATCTTTATTATTTGTTATATAAAGTGATTGTTCCTTTGGAACTCTCTCTTTTCTATTTTTTTTCTTGAACATTTGGTGTTTTTTTTTTTTCTTTCAACAATGGCACCTTGAGTTAAGAAAATCTTGGGAGAACCCTCAGAATGTCAGTTACAATTAAAGATAGTTTTATGTTTCATTTAGTTTAATATTTATTTTTTTGTCTATTTTAATTTACTTAATTTTGAATAACTACGTAAGAAATACGGAAAGTTATTAAATATATTTAATTATAAAAATATAATTACATTTAATGAATTGTTTTTAGGACAATATAATTAAACTATTTAAAATAGGTTTTAATATAGCTAAGTTACTTACATTCACTCTATTGTTTTGGATTAAAAAATTAAAAAATTATAATTAAAAAGACTTATAATTTATACAAAAATACTTTAATTTTTGTTCTAAAATGGCATCATTTTGGGTTTAATGTAGATAACTTATTTACATTCACTTTAAAAATATTAAAGCATATATATATATATATATATATATATATATATATATATATATATATATATATATATATATATATATATATTGAATTTCACACCATGAATGAATATATAACCAAAATGATATATAGGAAAAAGCTAAGATAGTTCACATTTTCTTGGGATGGATGATTAAAAATTATAATGAGAAAGACTATTTTAATTCTTAAATAAATTATAATTACAAAAATATCTTGATTTCGGTCCCAAAATGACGTCGTTTTAGGCTCAATATAAATAATTTATCTACATTGATCATAGAAAAGACGAACCTATATATATATATATATATATATATATATATATATATATATATATATATATATAGGAAGGTTATACTTACAACATTTTTTTTTACAATCTCTTACAACCATATCTTAACACCGTTGATTTCCGTCAATCAACGGTTATGATTTTCGCAAATTAAACTCATTAATTAATTATTAATTCATAATAAATGATAACCGTTGATTGACGGAAATCAACGGTGTTAAGATATGGTTGGAAGAGGTTGTAAAAAAAAAGTTGTAAGTATAACCTTCCTCATATATATATAGGGAAAAACTACTCTTATGCTACATGTGATAACTTTCTCTCCTACACACCCTTCGATAACTATGCCACTTTTTTCTTTTTTATTTTTTTTATTTTTCAGATGATGGAGCCCACAAATTTGTCTCTATGACATGAGATAAATAAAATCCATGTATATATGGGTTTGTCTACTCCCATGTTGTAGGAGAGAGCATATCTTATGCTAAGACACAAAATAATGGGATACACCACTAAAAAAGAGAAAAGAAAAGAAAAGAAAATAGCAGCAAACTTATCGAACTGTCTATGGCATAAGATAGTAGTCTCCTACAACATGAGACTACTATTTCCCTATATAATATATATATATATATATACACATGAGGTAGGATCCTTTGACACCGGTGTCAAATTTCAATTTTGACAACTCATCTGAGAACCGTTAGATCAAAAAAGATCAATGGTGTCACATGCTTGCAAATCAGAGTTGTTGATATTTTTTGATCTAACGGCTCTCAGAAAAAAAAATCTGGAATCGGCCAACTCCGACCCAAGCCTACAAACTTGGTATCAGAGCATGGTTCATTCTAGGCACCAAAAATTACTATAATAAAAGACATGGGAAACAATCTTAGGAAGTGGAAAGGAGAGTACTAAGTGTAACAGCCCGTTGTACACCGGTATTGTTAACATTAATTATGATATTAAGCGCAGTTACAATCACAACAATTCATTTATAAAAATGCGAATAAACTTTTTCCGATTATTACGCAAGCATTTAAAACAATAAAAAGCGTAATAATTAAAAGCTGTGACCGTAAGTGTAAACTCTTGCGGAATACTTATTTAAACTATTTCTATGTATTATTTTACTTATCATAAGTTACTCAGGGGTTCCCATAAACCCACTTAGCCAATTTCTCAAATTTACGTTTTTACCTTTTTGAACATGGTTCACTAATTAATTTTCTGCGAACTCACCGCTCACAATTAGACCATCCTTTCGAGTTATATTTTTTCTTACTTAATTCTCTTTCTAAGAAGCTATCACACACTTTAATCGGAACTCGTTTGCTCCGGCTATCGCCGTTTGAAGTTGGATAAGCAAAACAACCAACCAACCCCAAAACAGCTCAAAACCTCTCTCACTCCACGAATTACTGCAGAAAATTCACTCATCCAATTGCTTTCAAATTTTTATTCTACAAACTAGACACCTCAACCTTCAATTTGATATATCATACGCTTAATTTGACTGAGAAACGAAGCAGTAATTAATTTCCAAAAAACTGCCAGAAACAGCCCCTGCATAAGGGGGTTCTGGACAGTCGGTTTTCACTGGCTCCTACAGGGCTGCGTGCAGCCCAGAATATTCTAATATTTTGAAACATTGTAGGGGACATCTCAAGCTTCAAAATGGCATATGGCACGTGCCTATCGGACCTCATTGGAGGGAGATATGCTCTCCCGAAGTTCGTCTAAAATCTGCCAATTCTACCGAAAATTCGCCAGAGTTTCCTTTGTTTTTCTTAAAATCCCCAAATTTACATAAGCTTTTTAGTATCTCAAATGTACCTAATAACCAATGGGTGGCACACACAAGGACCAACAATGCCTTGGGGCACTTACAACCCAACTCAGGATATAGTTATTACACAATTCATAATATATGGCTCACTTTATAAACCTTTAGCTTGTTTCAATCACCCAAGTCTATTTACATGCAACTTTCTCAATATACAATTAATCATGATCCTAAAATAGGCCTAAAGCCCTTTCATCATATTACACATGATTCATGATTACATCAATTCAGGTACCACTTACAACTCCAATGAACATATTACAATTCCTCTTTAAAATAGACAAGATAACACTCCCTAAATAACATGGTGTTCAAGAATACATTTAGACAAGATATACATTATGAACAAATAATGACCATGCTCCCAATCATATACATTATTCATGATCTAGATACAGCCTAGGCCCAACGACCATCTAAATGCAAAACATAAAAGTCCTCCAACGACTCATCCTAGGGCATCTTGACTGCCGTTCCTGTGCCACTGCTACCTCCTGAAATAATGCCCCCAAGACGGGGTGAGATATACGGATATATCTCAGTAACCCAGAGGTTCTGGAGAAAACTCCGCCCAATGGTTCACTTCGATGCATATAAATAATATAAAACAACCACTTTCAAAACGGGATATAGCAAGGGATTTAGAGAAACTGGGAAATATCGGGATATAAAATACGACGAAGCTGGAATGGTAGCTACCAATACCACGCAACGTCCTCGGCATATAAGCCTACCGGTATCATCCAAGGCGTGTTCCTAGAACCACAACCAAGGTACCCCTCCCATCCATATACACCCGAGACTTCCTAGTGTGCTCCTAACCGGATTACACACCACGACTCTAGGTCAACTGGAACTCTCTCTCGGAGACCTATCCAGTGGAAGTCCGCACTGCCCGAAGGCTACACTGTCTACTGGCCAGAGACTCGGTACATAAGTACCCTCATAAATGCTACATGCATGCTCATGCTGTTCTACACTACTCATATACACTTCCTACCATTACCCTCAACGGGTATGGTGGAACAGAAAAGGGGAACAAGCCCCAGTACCAAGAGGTTACCTTAATACTTCCTCCACTTAGCTCCACAGCAGCTTATTTCCCAACTTGTTACTCAACAGAATGCCTACACAGAGGACATTCCCAATTACTCGAAATTCACACAACACATGCTAATTCACAATTATACATACATTGATCCAATCACTTACCTCAATCCACTTGGTCCAGGACCAAGGGCAATCCACCGATTCACGGTTTGGGATTCAAATCGACGTACGACAACCTATACCACCATGTACAGCCATCAGTATACGTCAATTCTATCAAAATGCGAAAAACCACAAAATCCTCCCCTTCCTCTTGAAGGTTCGGCCAAACAAGGCAAAAATTCAAATTTATTTTTCTAAATTTTCTTTCTCATTTTATTACACATCCTTAGGTTGCCAAGAGGCTAATTCAAGTGCCATTTTTTTCGTTTTACGTCTTTTAAGCATCGTTTTGCTAAATAATCCACTCTAGGTTCTTTTATGTCCCTAAAAACAATTTATTATTTTCCATTGATTCTACCACTTTCCAACCACCACACAACCCATTTTAATACCATTCAACACTTGATATATCATCCAATCAACACAAACAACATCAATTTCCTAAAACTCTCTCTATGGCCGATTTGCACACTTGGACTTTCTAAAGAATTCTCACTCAATTTTTAATCATTTCACACTCCATACAACACCATTATATCAACATATAATCATTCAACAACTCACCAACACAATCCTACCAATAATCTCAAACACAAAGTCATGACACCATCAATTTTCTCTAAGTTAAAAATCCATATTTTTCACCAATAATTTTCATGGCATTTCTAGCTCTAACACATCATTTTAAGACATTATCATCTAATACACATTTTCCAATTGAGCTCTCTAACATCACCAATCACGAAATCAAGGTGTAGGGTTCATGAAAATACACTACAATCAAACCATGTAAATGAGATGAAAATATACTCACAACCAAGGCTAGATGCTACCCCAAGACTCCTCCAAGCAATGGAAGCTCAAATGACTCCATGAACCTCAAATTCCTCCAAACATTTGCAGCTGTAAATGGGCAATAACTCACCAAAGAGAGGGTTTCAAGGGAAACTAATCGGTGGAACGAGTTCGGATGATGATTTCCATCGAATTTCAAGACAAGAATCGATTGATTCGGTGGAGAAACGACC